GAAATGGCCTGTCCTGATCGGCTATTGCTAGGACTGGGGGTTGTATCAAGCTCTGCTTGATACCCTCAAAGGAGCGTTGACATTCAGCGTTCCATAACCACCTCTCGTTCTTTTTCAACAAACGAGAGAGGTGCACAGTCATCTCGGCGTAATTGCGTGAATACTTATGCAAATACGCCGCTAGCCCAAGGAATTTTCGAAGACCTTTGACATCAACCGGCACAGGCCAGTCGGTGATCGCCTTGATCTTTTCGGGATCAGGACGTACACCGTTCTTACCAACGATGCACCCAAGAAGTGGTATTTCACTTGCAGCAAATATACACTTCTTGAGGTTAGCATACAATTGATGCTTTCGCATGATTGTAAGAACCTGTCGGACGTGGTACCTGTGAACCTCAACATCCGACTTTCCATCCATAGCTCGACTATGGATGAATACGTCATCGAAATAACTCGGCGCGAATTCGCGTACTGGTCTCAACAGATGTGATACACATCTGTTGAACGTGGCAGGGGCATTACTAAGCCCTTGTGGCATTACTAGCCATTCCCAGAGCATGCCGCTAGGCGTGCTGACTGCGGTATAGGGTATATCCCGTTCTCGCATAAGGATTTGATAGAAGCCATCCATCAAATCCATGGACGAAAAGATGGTACTCTTTGACATACCATCAATGATTACGTCCTTCCTCCGTATCGGCGTCTGAGCCGGTACTGTTGCAGCATTCAACTTGTTAAATGCATGCACTATCCGCCACCCTCCTGTTGCTTTTCGCACACAGAAGGTCGGAGAGCTATGTGGGGAAGTTGATTCCCTCACATGGCCCGCAGCTAAGCGATCGGCAAAGAACTTGTCGATCGCAAGTACTTGTTCACGAGGCAGTGGCCACTGCTTCATGATACAGTACTTCGAGCCTGGTTTAAGCTCGACCTCGTGTCGAGTACCTTTATCAATCGGTAATTCGCACGGAACAGTTTCATGGAATCCATCATTGAATTCAACCAAATCTTCATAGAGAGGATTTGTCTTGAGCGATTCCCACGATTGGGAGTCATATCGCTCAATTCGTGTCTTTTCACCTAGGACACTCTCGTCCATAGATGAACTACTGAGAACTCTCTCGTTCGCAGTAAACACTGTTGCTGACCTTATGTCGGTTACACAATCGTCGTCAGCGACGAGTATGCAGATCTGCTTGACTTTGCCACTACGCAGATCACGCAAGAACCTTTTATGTTCGAGCGTTGGCAACTGAGTGATCTCCGAAGTCAACTTCGGAGGCGCAATCAGATCAAGCGTATAAGCGCCTACACTTGATCCGTCATTGACTATGACATTCAATGTCTCTGTCATTTCCTGGGACCTTATTCCCTCAGGCTTCGAAGGACTTATTCCTTCGTCTTCCCGGGGACTTATTCCCTCGGGTTTCGGGGAACTTATTTCCGCCGTATTTGTAATCTTGGGACTTATCCCCTTTACTTCCTCTAGCTGGGGTTGCGCAACCACAGCGAGATCCTCTACGAAAGACTCTCCAGTCGATCTAGGATTATCGTTTCGCTTAACCTGAGCGATCGATTGTTTCTCTTCTAGATGTTCCCCGCTAGGGATACATCTTTGTCCCGGTCCACTCGACTTATTCGAGTGGTGGACCTTCGGCGCAGCCTGTGTTTCCTCACAGCCGCCGGAACTTTGCTCCAAAGTGTAACCGTTTGTTACACTAAGGTTTTGTGCAGTCGTACTAACGACGGTACCACAAGTGAGGCCATCGCACTCACTCGTAGTACACCCACACGCTTGTGAAAGCTCCAAAACGTTTATCAGATGGCCATCTGATGAACAAGCGGCAGGCATCGTTACTGTTCGATGTTGCCAGTTTACCCGTGGTTCGTACCTTCTGAGCCACGGTATTCCAAGGATGACATCAAATTTGTCATCCAAATCCAATACGATAAAGTCATCGTCATATTGGGTATCTTCTAGCGTATAGTGGATCTTCACTATACGCTTCATGACGGTTACGGATGCGCCTGTCGCAAGACGTACCGTCATCCTCGTAGGAGGTGTGTCACATTCACTGAACTCAAAGTGAACATCTTCTAGCGATTGGCGTCGCACAATATTGCTGGACGCCCCACAATCGACTAGAGCTCGAAGGGACAACTTATTCGTCACTTCGAGTTTCAAGGTAATGAGTGAGACCTCATTACCTAGAGCAGCAACGCACAATGTTTGTGTGTTGGGATCAACCTTCATCAAGAGGCCTACAAATTCTCTTGACGTTGCTGGACCAGCAGGGTGCTCCGCACCTACTGATCCTGTCCGTTTTTTGACGGTCCATCCCGTTGTTGCGTCTTTGCACCAACTGCGGACCCTCGTCCCTGCCCCTTTCTCATGGGTGGACGGTCACTACGCCCAGTGTCGCGAGACACTGGACGAGGGGCACTACACTCGTAAGCGTAGTGTCCTGTCTTTTGACATATGTTGCATCTCTGCAACTTCTTGTAGCCTATAGAGCGAGCCTTCTCGCTCTCTACATAACAGAGTTCCATCGGCTCTGGACCTCCGTTGTCATATCGTCTCGGTTGACGATATGATGTCGAGCTGGCGCGAGCCTGTCTCAGACTGAAGTCTTCCTGCTCCGCAATGGAAATGGCTTGTTCTAGTGAATCTAGTTCAAGCCGGAACAGGTGAGTCTTGACGGGACCATCCGCAAGACCCTGCATGAACACCGAAACCAACGTGTGTTCATCCACCGGATTGGAACTTATACAACTCGTGAGATGTCGTATATGTTGAGCGTAAGCGTGCACATCACGCTTACCCTGCTTGAGCTTCAAGAGTTCGGTTCGAGCCCTGAACTCAGCTCTAGGCGGTTCAAACGTTTGTCTGAGCCGCGACTTGAAGACTTCCAACGACCCAAACGCATATGGGTCGTGCAGCTTGAGCCCCAGTGCCCAAGTCTTGGCACGTCCTGCCAGATTTGACTGGGCAAATGCAACTTGCATATCCCCGTCGTCGATGCGACGCGCCCTTATGGCGTCATCCAATTCGACGAACCATCTCAAGAGGGAGTCTTCTTCGACCCCCTATACTTTGAGATGTCAATCTTCAAAGTCTCGGGCCGACGCGAGTGCATCGACCCGCCAGCAGCAGCCTGCTGCTGTCTCAACAGTTCAAACTGTTGAGCACCTTGTTCTCTCAACAACTCTGCTTGTTGAGAACCTTGTTGGTGAAGCAAGGCTACTTTCTCGCGTTCTGCGTCAAGTTCATTTTGAATGAACTTGGCGATAGTAGCATGTTGGGCATCTCTATTGAGAGCCTCTAGCATGACGCTAACAGCATGGATGCCCATGGTCGAACCCATTCGTTCAACCGCATCCCATTCGACATCGCTCAAATGGGAGTAGCCGTCACGCGTAGCGTGAAAGCTTTGGTCATCTTCATCATCCAACATATTCATGTTGGATGTGAACGCGGTCCTTGGACGGACTACGAAGTGCTACCAGGTGTAACGGGGCACCCTGAAGCTTGTACTGGTGACAGTACAAGCTACTTATTCTGATAACAGAATAAGGCGGTGCCTCGTAACTTCACGTACACTCGTACGTGCAGAGGAAGACGGTAAGAAGAAGCGAGTACTTGGTTAGAGTAAAAAGTAGAACTGTATTTATAATAGTTAATGTCTGCAATAAATCACTATTTATCTTCATCTAACTATGTCTAAATACAAATGTGTAAATCAGTTATCTGCTCACCACTCATTGCGTGCGTCTGTCGTGGCGCGTCTTCGTTGGTTGATATAATGGCCTATATCAACCAATTAGGAACTACTTGGAAGTGCTACAGAATATTTGTCCTTATGACAATATTCTGAGAATATAACTCTTATAGTTATATTCTATTAACAATTTCTTATAAATTGTTATGTAACGATTCACCCCGTTACACCTACCCCATTAGCATTGTGCATGAAAATGTAACTGTCACTATTGACAAAGGCGCGACGACGCAACGGCTATCGATTCGTCGCATCTTCCCGTGCTAGTGTAATTGCTTCATGGGGGGAGTATGACATAACTGCCTCAGACACTGGTTAATGATGGATGGATCCTACTCCACGACCTAGCTACGACTAAGCGAAGAACAATCGGATGGATGGATTGATGGATGGTTGATGGATAGATGGAATTAGATGAAGCATTCAGGTAGGCACGGTAGGCTAACATGGTATGAAATGCATTCTCAATTTTACCTTTGACTCCGCAAGACCCTCTCAAGCAAGGCTCGCGGACCGATCACCCCTCTGCAAGCCACGGGTGTGTCAGCGCGTCTTCGTTGGTTGATATAATGGCCTATATCAACCAATTAGGAACTACTCGTAAGTGCTACAAAATATTTGTCCTTATGACAATATTCTGAGAATATAACTCTTATAGTTATATTCTATTAACAATTTCTTATAAATTGTTATGTAACGATTCACCCCGTTACAAGATGGGCTTCCTCTGCACGTACTAGTGTACGTAAAGTTCGTGGCACCCCAAGCAAAGGGTGATCCGTTACTCCCGACATCTTGATGCAACAGAGAGAGAGCTAGGAGTAATAAGACTCTGTATGGTAAGTCGAACGACTGTGTCATGGTAGATGGCACGAGGTGGTTACCACACAACCAGACATTTTATTAGTGGTAAGTAGCTATAATAGGCAGTCTAAGCCTCGAATATTGCGGTTAATGTGCAACACTGCGCTGTATCTGCTACCGACTGCGTACGTAATGTAACTCTACTGATTTACGGCCCAGCAAAATAGCTCGCATTGGAATCCTTCGATCAGAATGGTTGGTGGTTTGCGTCTTAGAAGTGCACTTTACATCAAAGATTTACAGTTGTGCATAGCCACAGCAATTATCGGTCATTGATCGACCGCTAGTCATAATCTTCGGGTTGGGAAAAGCTATTTGGATTGTCAAGCGCACAGTTAAACGACATGCCACCCTTCAGACCCATAATCGACCCTGGGTAAAAAATGCTGATGCGCGATTCGGTTCGATGCGCGACCCGCCCTTATCTGGCACATAACCTCGTTTGACACCAGGAGGTTCATGGCTTCGCCCCATCTCATGGCTACTATGCGCATCGCAAGCAGAAGAAAGCAGCATGTCTCTCTTCGCTTTAGCAGCAACGACAGGAAGCGATGCTCCACAGAGAGCCCATCTTTTGACGCTTAGATGCGACCGCTTAGAGACGTCACTACATTTCATGCCGTCGAGTTTCAACTGGATCAATAATACAGATGCCCGATCAGCACCTTGCGTGCGCAAGCATCCATCTGACAGTGGTTTCAATCGACGCGGCGATCGATAGCCGCAGATACTGCCCGTTTCGCCAACAGCCCACATTCTTCACCGCTTCCGTGGCAGCTGATCGAAATAGCTGTGCGCCGTGTAGCCATATGGAGAAGGTTTCTAGCCGCTACGGCGCGTTCTGATCGGGCTCAGGGCCGCCATCGTATGCTAGGATAAATCAGTAGAAATTGCTAAGAGTCGTCGCCGTGCGTCAATCCGCCAGACCAGCGGACGCCACGATGGCTCGCGTACCTACTGAGTGCGAAGCGTCACTAATTTGATGGCAGTGGGTCACGAGTGGTAGAGCGAGACTTGATGCGCAGCTTTGGGGTCGACCCGTCTGCTAGTCACCTGGTGAAGTTAGCGAAAAGCACCGTGCAGAAAAAGTCGCGGCACGTTCGCAACTCCTTCTTTTTTCGACCCCTGATTCGCGCTTAAAACGTGGGTAGGGTTGAGCTGCTGAACTGATCTTGTCACCAGCAGAATCAGACGCTTGTTTCCTTAAACCGGATGGTGACCTGAGCGCTCGCGCTTTGTCAGGACGCAGCTGAACAAGTGCGAATACATTGATAAAAATCATGGTTGGTTGGCTGTACGTGAGGTATGGTGTTGACTTCAATGCCGTGGAGTCTAGAAGCTGACTGACCACCGATCAGATTTCGATGAAGGTGACCGCATATCGACAGAAACTTGCCAGGCCGGAGAAGTCAATCGTTTCTGTGTGACACACGTGCTGTTCAGGGTGCGAAGACTTGCTGGTTGTAAATGTGCTGTAACAAACGTTCTTCCACAAAGCGCAGAAACTCCTACATGCGCAGCAACACATGACTTCTTCGAAACATGTCGCGGGTCTCTAGCTGTTCAGGCAATTTCCTGAATGAGGCCTGGCAGCTCTTAGCAATTTGCAATGGGCAGAGCTGATCACATGAAATTTCCAGCAATGGCGCTATATAGAAGTTGGTGTTTGGGTTGACTGGTTCGTCCACAGTGTGACCTCGACGAGCTCTTGTGCTCGACATGCTCTCACCGATTGTAGCGAGCGACGCAGTTCTTTGCTGAAACTTACACTAGTATGTTATGCTTCCTGTTCTGTGGGAGAGCGCATGATGTTGTTGATACTGAAACCGCATGACGTATTCGAGATAAAATGAACCAGCTGCGATAAATTATTCCCAGCGTGAGTGATGCGACAGACGCCACTAGCTCGAGAGGGTAATCGCAGGCGCCCAGTCACATCAGCTGGGAGCCCGGAAACCGGACGGTACAGTCGACATCATGCACCCGGACAGTGTCTGTCGTCCACTGACTCGCTACCCAGCAAATCGGCTGTCCGAATTACGGCTCCCAACGCCGCTCCCTCATCGACACGTCAGACCTTGTCCGGCTAGCCTTGCGGTGTGGATTCAGGAAGCAATGGATTCCTAGTGTGCATTGGCAGCTGGCATTGGCGCTCTTGTGCAATCGTCGACAGTGTCCACACAATGCTTTGCCATGCGCTTGGCCCGACTTTGTACGCTGATTTCGCTCCAAGACGGAGGAACGTTCTCGGTTTGCGAAAAGCTGGCCCGTCTGCTGTGCATAGCCGATCCAGTTTGAGCCTGTTTTTCCGAAACTCATGAGGGTCTCATTCACAGATATTCCGGTTGGGCCACACGTTGACTGACCGTAGGGAGCAAAGCAGTTAAACAGACAGTCAAACAAACAGACAGACCGACTGACAGCCATGAGCAGTCCCCGTCAAGATAAGAAAGACGAGCAGGGAGAGAAGCCGCTGTTCCGCACCCTCACACCCAACGATGAAGCTGCCCGACCACAGTACCGCTCGATGGCCGTGGCTGCCGCGCCACCGGCGTTCAGTACAATGGGACCTCGCGGCTCGATCGAGCAGCTAAGCCCTGCGTTCGCGGGTCCCATGGCGTTTAACATGGCTTCCAAGAAGTCTGTGGCCGGGAGCAAGAAGTCCGAGACCGTGGCAGCGTCGCCCTCGTTTGGCACGCGGGTGGACCGCACCAAGTACGTGAACGCGACGCCGCGGGAGCTACCGCCGGCGCCGTTTCGTCTGGAGCTGCACACGCATTTCCATGTGAAGCTCGAGTCGACCCAGCGCGTGTGTGGCGTCGTGAGCATTAAACTCTGTGAGCTGGACACGGACTTTGAGTTCAAGGCGGACAAGTGCAAGTGGAAAGTCCAGTACCGTCGCAACACGCAGCGCGTGAGCCTTAACATTGTCATTTATAAGACGAGCAAAGGCGAGTACGTCCTCGAGGTCCAGCGTCGGGAAGGCGACATCACGGCGCTCATGCACCTCTACCACGAGCTCAAGAGCTTGTTTCGACGCAGCCAGCTGCTCAGTGACAAAACCGTGTCGAGTAACGGCGTTAAGCGCGCGGCCCCGAAGCCACTGCCGAAGCTGCCACTGTCGCCGGAAAGTATCCAGGACGGTGTATCGGCGCTCAAGGGCTTGCTTGAGAGCAAGTACGTTGACGCACAGATGCAGGGTGTTCTAGGTGCTATTTCCATGTCAATTTGCGAGGAGACACGGGCAGGAATGGCTGGTCTTGTGCCCCAGCTTGTGCTGCTGGGTCAAAATCAAAAGTCAAATGTCGCGCGGTTAGTCAGCGTCGCACTTGCACGGCTATGCGACCACCCGCAGTGCCGTCAAGCGTTTATCCAGTCCGATGGCTGGCAGTTTATTGTGAACTGTGCTGCCGGTGGCTCCGGTGTAAACCCAGAGGTGCAGCGAGAGAGTCTTCATGTGGTAGAGACTCTGTGTCCGTTGTACTACGACGAACTTGCCAAGTCAGAGAGTGCTGGACGTGTATTGCAACTTGTTAAGGAGTGGCAGAAGATTGAAGATCCGCGTCTCAAGAAGCACGCGTGCAACGCACATCGTGCGCTGACGAATGCGGGCGTCCTCGCGTAAGTAAACATCAAGGAAGCCGAGGCGACAGTTGCGGTGGCACTGCATGGGTAGGGATAGTAGAATCTATCCGTGTAGTCACGTTTGCGCAACTTTCTTTATCTTCAGCTTTCCTAATATCTTGCCTGTACGATATACCTGTCTTCATCGTAGTTCACGTTCTATCTTTGCTATGTGTAAGCACCGACTCATCCGTCATGTATTGGATGAACATGAATACATACCGATAGTAGTGCGCAGACTTGGGTGCTGTCATCTGTAGACCTCACACCAACGTGACTCCATCTCACAGGTCTACCTTGGCAAGTAGGAGTATCAACGGTATGCTTTGATGACGCAACTACTGGATTGCACAAAAGGCTCCAGTGAACTTCAAGCTCACGCGTTCAGCTAGAGCTGCGGGTAATAAGTGCATTGTCGGGAGGCTGTTTGGCCATCAGTGCCAATGTGTCACCCACCACGGCTTCTAGCGCTGGAAAAACTCGTGTCGCTCAAACTTTATTACTATACGATCCGATATTGTTTACCACCTACACGATGTCCGAGGTGTCAGAAGCCGGCACTCGTTTCTCCACCGACCACCCTCCCTCCAGCGTTTCTGTTGTCATCGTGACGGTAGAGTCAGGTACGCTGTCGTCTTCCAGAAACGTATCCATTTCTGTGGCTTCATCCTCGGAAACGATCAGCTCGTGCTCCAATACGTAGCCCAAAACCTGGTTCTTGACAGACCTGAGCAAACAGTACAGACGACACGCAGCGGTGAGTTTTCATAGACGTCCACACACGAGCTGTTTGTCGTCCTTACGAGGGAAACCAAATGTTTACTGGAAGGAGCCAATGCAATGCAAACTTGCAGTCTGCACCGCCAAATACTTCGCGCAGACCTAGGCTAGCTGATACCTCGCCCTTTAAACGGTCAATTTGCGTCGTTCCTGTAGTGATCACGCTGTACTGGTCGCACATCATGCACATGGTGAAAAGTCCAAACAGTACGGATTCCATAATCAAGCAGACTACTCGAATTGCTCCATAAGAAGGACATCTAGCGTTAGGTCAACACAGCAGCAGTAAGTTTAGCCTAACAACATCACACATGTACTAGTTCCTCGACCACGTACGATTCGTTTATGCATTTGGCATAGCGGAAGAACACGAGCGTCAGCGCGTAGACAGACAGGATGAAAACGTAGAAGATGAAGAGCAGGAAGAACTTGTGGTTGCCCAGACCTACACAGTTGTTCACCCAGGGACAATGGTGGTCCATCTTGATGACGCAGCGATTACAGACCGAGCAGTGATGCGCCCGCCTTGGTTTGAACTGACGACACCGGCGACACGTCCTGTATTTCTGCTCTTCTAGTCTACAGAAAAATAGTCCGCATAGGAAGCAACAACGACACACTCATTAGCAGTAGGACAGCAGCAAGTGCACCAGCCATTTGCTTTTCCACCTCTGTATCTCGTCCTTTGATGCATGGGCCAACGCCAGCGGCAGCGCCGACTCTGGAACAGCTCCTGGATCGGTTAGCATTGCTTCAATCACATTAACAGGTCAATGGCAACCACATCCGTGTCAGCAGCGCTTCGCTTCTCGTCATCCAGCACATCAACCAGCAAAAAAGACCTTTTCCATGGGACGCAAGCGTCAAGAAGCAAATGCCCGAGAACAAGACGATATGAAGCAGACTCAGAGGTGAGAGACCCATCCATGGGTACACTACAACGCCCTGAGGTCAGCACAGAAAAGCACCAGTAGAAACACGCGTGTCACTCTCTCAGCAATGAACAGAAGAAGAAGAAGAACGACCTACCACTATAGTGTACTCGGCGTAGAGCACCAGCAGCCACGAGATGACAGCACACACGATACCGCACGGGTCTTTGTTGCACCATAGACGTACGTTGAAGCCCGTGCCGCACGACGACAGCCGCTGCTTGTGCTGGTCTGGAGACGGCATTCAGGTATGACGGTGCAGCTGGGACAGGTATTCTGTATCCCAGGTCAGTTCGTTTTCGCCCTAGACTGACGTACACATGATGTACACGAGGACCTTTTCATTCAGCTTGTCTTAAAAAGCGTCACTTCCAGACGCAAAAAGGTGTTGTTTCGACTCACTTTGTTTTCGCATCTTTCGCGTCGTCGGGATGGTCGCCGTGTCCAAGAAGGTCGTCGCGCAGACGTACGGCCGCATCGCATTGAGTGACCTCACTGCGGCTCAGACATCTCAATGGACTGTACGAGCTGTTTCTGGTATCAGCTCGCGCCAGTTTGAGCGTCCGCGTCCACTCGACGACGTGTCAAGGGCCTCCGACGTGACTGCCACTGCACTTCGTCTACAGACAGCAGCGCTGGACGAGCGTATGAGTGTTGGTCTACGCTGTGGAGCGTGTGATGTGACTACATTTTCGTCTCTGGATGAGCAGTACGCGCATTTCAAGTCGGTAGCGCACTGTGTGAACCTCAAGCGTCGAGCGCGTGGCTTGCCAAGTCTGTCGGAAGAGCAGGCGCTTCAGTATATGCAAGCACATAACAAGAAAGAGATGAAGAAGGAAGCGATGGATGGAGGGTACGTGTCATCGTCATCTTCATCGTCGTGGTCTGAGGAAGAGAAGGAAGAGGAGAAGATGGCTACAGTTTCGGAGCCAGTGGTCGAGTTTTCGGATGGCAAGAGCGTGTTTAAGGTGGTGTATATAATGGAATTGCTGGTGAGCTGTCGGTATGATGTCGTGATGTTTACGATGTTGTTGTTTTCTGCTTGTGGGAGCAGGTGTTTAAGAATATTCTACCGGATGCTGAAGAGGAGAGCTTCAACCCGTACACTTCTTTGGACAGGATCTGCGCATCCAAGTTTCGCTGGGCTGTGTTGCTGCTACGCAGTGGTCGCTTTGCTGGAGCTGTGTTTGACAAAGACAAGGCGCTGTGTCACAAGACGTTCCAGCGATACACGACGCGGCGGAAGCAGGGCGGCGCGCAGTCCGCAAGTGACGCCAGTGGCAAGGCAAAATCGGCAGGAGCTACTCTACGGAGATACAATGAAGCGGCGCTGAAGCAAGACGTGGCTGCGCTGCTTGTGGAGTGGAAGGAGATGTTGAAGGATGCAGAGCTTATTTTTCTGTCGAGTGGAAAGACAGAGCGTGCGACATTTTTTCCAGAGAAGAATGCAGTGCTGCAGCCAGGTGCGCTGCTTCCAGTGGTATCAAACGTAGCGCAGATTTGTCGCTTAACACCTGTGCTGGTGAAACTGGTGTGTACCAGGTGACAAGAGGTTGAAGAGGATTCCCTTTGCTACATTTCGTCCGACGTTTGAAGAGGTGTGTCGCGTGCGATCGGACCTCAGCAGCGTCCGATTCTTACCTCTTGAAGCAGCAACAACGTCTTCTGTCGTCAGCGCGAGCAAAGTGAAGAAGAAAACAAAGAAGGCTAGCGACGCAGCGTCCAAAGTGGAAATTGGGACCGTTGGCATCCAGCAGGAGGAGGAGGAGGAGGTAGAGGTTCCTCTTCTTATCCAGCTCGTGAATGATGGCGACCTGAAAGGTGTTGAGGAGCTGTTTCTCCATGTCGATGAAAAGGACAGCAAAGTGAATGAGGTGGATGTCAACTTTATGACAGCCTTGCACCACGCCGCAGAAAAGAACGCGGTTTCTATGGTGAGGTTTCTGCTAGAGCAAGGGGCTAACCCGGCCCTTTTGGATCTGCACAACCGGCCTCCGTACTTTTTGTGCAGCTCGAAAGAAACTCGGAATGCGTTTCGTCGATACATGGGCGAGCATCCGGACGCATGGGATTATGTAGCAGCACAAATTCCGGAAGTCCTAACGACTGACATGGAGCAACGCAAGAGGGATAAGGAAGCGGAGAAGCGGAAGCGTGCTCGTGAGCGCAAGAAACAGCAGAAAAAGGAACTAGTGCAGCAGAAGCAAGAAGAAGTTGCGCGTCAGGAAGAAATGGAGCGGAAAATCGCTGCAGGTCTGGCTTGTGATTTGTGTGGCAAGTATGCTGGCAAGTCTCCGTTCACCCGGTTAGAGTACAAGTACTGCTCGACAGAGTGTGTCAACGGACATAAGCGCAAACTCATGAGTGAAGCCGCGTTGCGTCGACTCGGAGGTTGACAGCACGAGAATAAAGGAGAGACATCGTAGAAGGAAGGAAGCGTGCGTTCGTGTTGATTGAGGTGCATCGGATTGTGGAGATAGAAGTGCCGCAAATGATGCCGATCCACTGCTGGATACTGTCGTGTCAGTAAAATCTCTATCGTAGTAATGCCAACAAATATTCCCCCTCATCTCGGCTTTGGCTCACCATCGTCTTTCGGGCAGGTGTTCAAAAGCACTTCATACCTCCCTGACCTCGACGGACAACTTCGGATACCAATTGACGCTCATTTGTGCATTTTCTTGCATTTTCCAAGCATTTTTGTTCGAGGCCAACTGACTTACAATTGAAAAAAAGAGACTACCAGCCCCAGTTGTTCCGCGACTGAATAAGCACATTGGAACCGTGTCCAGCTTTATTTTAATCAAGACCCAGTCGAACGTAGGGAAAATGACCGGATAGTCTCCAGCCAGATCGATAGTTTACCCAATTGATCGACCAATCGTGTACCACACACAAGCCCGTAATCGCATTTGCTGGCGACCCTTCACAAGACGATCGTAGTCAGTCCTATCGACTTTGTCGCACGATTCTAGAACACTCGCTGCTTCCATTTGGCCGCATATCCCCTATTTTGCACCAATTAACGTCACTCAAGATCCACACTCATTAACCTCATCAACTTCACCACCGAGTGGCCACGTATTTACAATTTCGCCACCAAAAGCTCAAGTCGCGTCGATTGTCCAATGAGAGGACTCCGTCGCCCATGGCTGCTACTGCTCGTAGCCATGTCGCTCTGCTTCAGCGTATTGGCTATTGACGACGCCCACGCGGACGTTTCCGCCGTCTCCGATGACGCAGCAGAGTACGATCGCCCGCGTCCTCCTTGCACCTCCTTTGTTGTTGGTGTATTCTGATTCACCTGATGTTTGTATAGAAGAAACAACGCGGCGAGTCCATCAGGAGACCACCACGAGCTCGCGAACGCAGATAGTGAGACGTTCGCGTTCCAAGCCGAAGTGTCGCGTCTCATGGACATCCTCATCAACTCGCTGTACCGCACAAAGGAGATCTTTTTGCGGGAGCTCATTTCGAACGCTTCGGACGCGCTGGACAAGCTCCGGTTCTTGGCGCTGTCCAATAAGGAGCTGCTGGGGACGCTGCGGGATCTGGAGATCCGTATCAGCTTTGACAGTGACGCTCACACGCTCACGATTCGTGACACGGGCGTCGGAATGACAAAGAAGGAGCTCGTGACCAACCTGGGGACGCTGGCCAAGTCTGGCACGGCCAATTTCGCTGCCGCTCTGCAGAGCGGCAATGACGACAACAACCTCATTGGCCAGTTTGGTGTCGGCTTTTACTCTGTCTATCTGGTGGCCGACCATGTTCGTGTCGTGAGCAAGAACCCTGACGATGAGCAGTACATTTGGGAGTCGGACGCGAACGCGTCGTTTACGATCACGAAGGATCCACGGGGTAATACACTCAGTCGTGGAACGGAGATTACGCTGTTTCTGAAGCCGGATGCTGCCGAGTTTGAGGACCAAGACAAGCTCAAGAATCTTGTGGGACACTATAGTGAGTTCATCACGTTCCCGATCTATGTGAACACAAGCACGACGGAGACGTATGAGGTAGAGGAAGAGTCTAGTGAGTCTGCAGACGAGGAGAAGATCGTCGAGAAGAGCAGTGACGATGAGGATGACGACGAGCTGGAATCGGTCGTGGAAGATGGCGAGAGTGAGGCTCCCAAGACTCGCACGGAAACCCGTCAAGTGTGGGGTTGGGAGCGCGTGAATGAAGTGAAGGCTATTTGGACGCGCTCGAAGGAGGATATCAGTGACGACGAGTACAAGAGTTTCTACCACACGCTGGAGAAGACGGACACGAATGACCCGCTGACGTGGATTCATTTCCAGGGTGAAGGCGAGATTGAGTTCAAGTCAATCTTGTACATGCCAGGCCAGGCTCCGAGTGATTTCTACACGCGCTTTGAGAATAAAAAGGCAAACATCAAGCTGTACGTCCGCAAGGTGTTGATCACGGACGATTTTGATGACTTCTTGCCGCGCTACCTGAACTTCGTCGCTGGCGTCGTGGACTCGGACGACTTGCCGATCAACGTTTCCCGTGAATCGCTGCAGGAAAACAAAATTCTGCGCATTATCCGCAAGAAGCTTATCCGCAAGGTGTTAGAAATGCTGCACAAGCTGGCTGAGAAGGACGCAAGCAGTGGTGACGACGACGACGACGAGGAGGAGGAGGAAGAAGAAGTGGTGGATGGCTCACTGGATACTGATTCTGATGCGTCGAAGGAATCGGACGAGATCGCCAAGGGTGAGGACGATGGAGAAGAGGACGAGGAAGACAGCAGCGCTTCGTACATCAAGTTTTGGGAGCAGTTCGGCAAGAACATCAAGCTGGGTGTCTTGGATGACGCTACCAACCGTGGCAAGCTTGTGAAGTTGCTTCGCGTTGTGACGAACAAAAGCGATGGCAAGTGGACGTCTCTAGAGGACTACGTGAGTCGCATGAAGGACTGGCAGGACTCCATTTACTACATTGCTGCTGCAAACACTGAAGCTTGCAAAAAGTCACCGTTCATGGAGAAGATCCGCGCCAAGGGTCTGGAGGTGATCTACTTTACTGAAGCGCTGGACGAGTACATGGTGTCGCACATTGCAGATTTCGACGGCAAGAAGCTGGTGTCCATTGCAAAGGAAGGTATCAAGTTTGGCGATGAGGACGCTTCGCTAATCCAGAAGCGGGAGCAACTGTATGCGGAGAAGTACGTGGCCCTTACGACGGGACTCAAGTCGCTTTATGGAAGCAAGATTGCTCATGTAGTCATGTCGCAGCGCGTTGTGGACTCGCCGGCTGTCATGGTGACGTCCCAGTTTGCCTACTCTGCCAACATGCAGCGTATCATGAAAGCACAGACTTTTGTCGATACGGACAAGACCCATCCGATGTATGGTGCAGGGTCTGCGATTCTGGAGCTGAATCCACTTCACCCGATCGTCTCGAAGCTGAATGAATTGATGGTGAGCGACCCTGAGGACAAGAAGACGAAGGATCTCGCGTGGCTTCTGTTCGACACTACGCTGATCAACTCGGGCTTCGACATGCCGAACGTCGACAGATTCTCTTCACGCATTCGCCGCATCATGATGAGTAGCATGGGCATTGACAGTCTGGAACTGGAGCCAGAAATCGAGGTTCCGGGAGATGAAGAGGTGGTGGACGACACCGACGATGCTGAAGACCTGGACGATCCCACGAATTCAGACGACACTGATGTGGATGAGGGAGCCGAAGCTGGTGAGGAGAAGGATGAGCTGTAGAGTCTGAGGGTGTAGGCTTTCCAGCGAACTTTGGAGAAGTTGTAGACGTTTGTTGCATTCAGCTTGTGTAAGCAGTTTTGCTAGAAAGAAGTTTCGTGCAAGATTGTTGGGTCCGCTTCAACGCATGCTCCGTTTTGTTGCGCTGGTATTTCCAAAGCCAAGTCAACCGGTACTCCAATTGTTGATGTCAGGTCCGCTGTCGGTTGTGTGGGGTTTGTGGTGACTCGTTACCTTTGACTATCGCCTCACCTCGCCTCTTCATGTGTTCCTCTCGATTTTTCATCTCCAAGTCTACGAGTTACGACCTCGCTCGTCTACTGACAGACCCTTCGTAGCTGGCTTCAATTTTCATCCTACTCGTTAACCCACAAAAGCATTTGCAATTCTCCAGTTCTTCGGCAAAAACATCACTCGAATAACTTCTCCGAAGTTTTAGCTGATACGGTTCACCTCATGCTTCGCCCCACCCACCAAACTTTTGCCAGGCGATGGCTGATTGGTTCTGTATGATCCAGGTCTTCCAGCTTCGGCATGCACAGTCCCGCCGCACCCGATCCTGCTTCTAGGCTTCTCCATGACTGCAATATTCGTAATAATAGCAGAGCTGTTCGCGTCGTTCCAAAAGAACCATCGCATCTGCTCCAGCTACCCCACCGCGATCGTGCTGAAAGTTGCGTTCATGTAGACAACTTCGTGTAGTCGCTGTTGCTTCAACCTTGCTTCACACTCATGAGCTTTCGGTTGCAAGCCATGTTCTCGCGTCTCCTTCAATTCGGCTTCTTCAGACTGTACACGTTTCAAGCTGCTCTGTGACCTCGATACCATCCTTTCCGCTCTTGAGTAAAGTTCTCGATAAACGACGCTGCTTTTGGCTACCTGCTCGGCAACAACTTGCTCAATCTAGGTTTGAGCCCACACCACACGCTCTTTCGTCTTGATCCTCCCTACACTCGACAATCATTGCTTTCTGCCTTCAGTGTCTGGTTGTTTTCCATAGCCTTCTTGCGCACCACCATACGTGCGCGCCAACTGGTTTACAAGATGCATTCGTGACCTTCGTCAAAAGCTTGCAGCGCAACCTTGGCAGTGTCCGGCTTCTCGTTGCAAGGTCGCTTCCGTTGTCCTATTCATTCGTGTTCTTCGATGCCAACCTACAGCTTTTCGCGAAAAAGTGATTACGCTCAACCTTCTGCTGCCCCCGAAGTAGTGTCCCTACCCTCGGAAGTTGCACAGTCCCCTTCGTTCTGCTGCTAGCGAGTCAATGCATGCACAAACTGACGCGTCCGAACGGCGCGTTGTTGTCCCTGGACGTACTACCCCATCGCGTTACGAGTATCGCATTGCTCTCATATGACCCATCTTCATTTGCAGCCGATAAACTCCGCTTGCGTCTGACCTCCCCGTAGTTGCCGCTTCCTCATACTCTTGACTCCTTAACTCTTGATCAACAACTATTTCGCCTCAATTCACGAACCTGTTTGCGCACCATAGCAGGTAAGTCTTCCAAAGCTTTTACGTCGTCAGCCTTCCCGTCCAGCATGACACAAAACATAGCGTAAGTGAGCATACAAACCATGCAAAAAGAGTGAGGGGACGAAGAAGTTAGCTACTGATAATAGTGGATTGACAAGTTGACAGGAGAACTGGTTCTTTGGCTCTGTAGATTCACGGCAGACTCAGCAACTATTGTTGCACGTCCCAAATTTCGGCAAAAAGTTCGATTACATCACCAAGACGCATACGCTGCGGCAGTTCGAAAGTCCTGCGCACAGACGATAATCCGTCGAATAGCAAATGAGCAGGAACCGGTGGTGGACGTGGTGGACTGCAGAGGCAAGGAAAGAGGTCCACAGTCAATATAGATAACGCCCTTCGTTACGTCCTACACAACAGAGGCTCAACTGAAACAGCCACGCACCGTGTCTGTGTTGGCGTGAGCCAGATTGCGCGCGACTCTTGCCATGTGCGCAGGCCCACGTTGCAAAAGGGCCCGTTGCGGCCTTGAGGCCACCACGGATCGGTATCGCTAGTCGCTGCAGCCACCTTAAAGCGATGCAGGTGCTGCACAAACCAGTCGAGCACTTCTGCAATAGCCTGAGTAGCCGCGTCTTCGTCCTTGATGCTGGAGAACGCGAAGCCGCTTCGCTGGTTGACAAACAGCGACGTCTTGAGCGCTGTCGCTGCCTGTGGACTAGCTGCACGTGAGCTCAATAGTGTCTGGTACTGCAGCACACAGAAACCACAAAGTAAATGCCAAGAACCAAGTGAGCGACACGAGTCTTTTCGTATCAGCCAGACGTTCAGACCCACTCCACCGTACCGCTTCAGATGCAGCATAAGGTGACTTTCCACCCACTTGCAGCAACATTGGAATAACAGCGACCTCCGATGTATCTGCACAGTCTCCACCACTCTCCGGACATGTCCAAGGCACGAGACCTTTGGGACACATGGCAACGACGCAATCGACCGGCACCGACCGTTCCATGGCCATTTGAATGGCCACATCAGCACCTGCTCCAACGCCACAAATACCCACGCGTTGAATGTCGTGCTTCTTCTTGAGATACACCGCCGCTTGGTGGACAATTGCCACGTGCTCGAGCGTCGCACTGGCTGTCGGTATTGTCTTCCATTCTGGGGCAAATAGATCCAGCACGAGCACTTTGTAGCCCTGTTCTGCCAGCTTGTCTGCAAAGGAAACGACGGTAAGTCCAAAGCAGTCGGCAGCTCCTTCGTCCGGGGCGACAGCGCGACTCACGCGACTCTTTTCGGCCAACAACACGACGCCCGTGACTATGCGCCCAATGTGCGACGCTGGGGCCACAAAGTACGCGTCCTGTAGACGCCCGTCAGGAGACAATGAAGAAGCTGTCGACACAGACGAGTTGTCCAGAGGGAACTGCAGCGTCGAGCCCGCCCCTGGGTGCACGAAGCGAGGACGCACGACGCTCGAGGAGCTCATGCGGATGGTCGGTCTTTCAGGTGAGCGAGCTTCTGATCGAAAGAATGGGTTTTTTATGGTACTTCTGCATTGTTCCTTGTTGGGTGGATACATGGGAGATGAAAGTGGGTGGATGTCACTAAAGCCCAAATGGGGTGTAGAAACAGGCCGGAGTTTCGACTACCAGCAACGTTGCGTGAGCCACGTCACTCTGTTGCCGATTGAGAGGTGGTGGATGGACGTTACAAAGCCTGTTGCGACTTTAGGGCGAGCGGGATGGCTCAGATGACCGCTCGATCGACTCATTCGTAAACAGGCCACGCGTTGACTCGAGCGACTGAACCGAAGCGAGGAGGGACGAAACATGAGCGACGACGAGTCGTCCACGAAAGAGACTGTGTCCTCTGTACGTGTCCACCCCCACCCCTATCCCTATTCCTACTGCTATTCCACCGTGTACCCATCCGCGCCCTTTCGCGGCAGCCGATAACGAGACTGACTCGTGTTCTCTATTGCTTTTTACGTGTTCCAACGATCAGACAGCAGACAAAGCTTGGGAGACGGAGAAGGGCGTGCGCAAGATGGCTGACCTCTTGCGTGGGCGCAAGGGCATGCCGTCCCGCCATGCGGTGGAGCTGGGCAAGCGTGTCGAGTACTTTCGAGGCGACCGTCTCGCTTCTTTTCTGTTGGCGAGTCCCATGGCAAAGAAGTACTTCCCGGAGCTCAAGACCAAAGAAGACGTGCACACAGTGGGCCATGCTCTGGTCCAGAATGGCTACATTCATCGCTCGGAACGTGACGCAACGAACAAGAAGCTGCTGAAGCCAACGTCCAAGCAGAGCTTTGCTCCAGACGGGTACTACACGTGGATGTACGAAGGGTCCAAGACGTTCCGCAACATTTTGACGGCGTTGCTGATCATTAGCTTTTTGACGGTCACGTGCTTCCCCATTTGGCCGCAATGGGCCAAGGTCGTGCTGTGGTACATGTCGGTCACTTTCCTCATCTTCGTGGCGATCTTCGTGGTCGTGCGTCTCATCATCTTCTTTATCCTCTGGGTGATTGGCTACGAGTACTGGCTACTGCCCAACATCTTTGACGACAACCTCTCGGTCGTGGACTCGTTCGTGCCTCTGTACTCGCTACGCACGACGGAACCGTCGGAGCGCATCTACCGAGTTGTTGGACTGGTCGCTTTTGTGTGCTTCTGTGTGTGGGTGAAGAACCAGCCGACCGACTTTGATGACTACATGGAGCTCACGAAACAGTTTACGGACGATATTTACAGCGGCAAACTTCTGAGCGATATGTCACAGAAAGACCAGGATAACATCGATGCTGTGAAGGTGCCAGATCTCGAGGATCTGCTCAAGGACGACGAGGATGACGAGGGCGACGAGAATGACGAAGGCGACGAGGACCAGGACGCCAAGTTTGCTAAGATTTTAGACGAGGATGACGAGGAGAGCGAGAAATTCACGGAAGCAATGGAAGACGTCGAGGCGGATGGGGCGACCGACCGGGACTTGTAGTTGCAGCGAGGGGTTAGTAGACTAGCTGAATGACGGACACAACGACGATACATAATACGAAAACCTGGTGATTGATGAGTTAGCTGTCTGCACGTACGTGTGGTCGTTGCTCACTGCTCAAGGCCCACTGCTTATGCAAGTAGCACACGCATTCCAACGGCATGCATGAGCGCTCCTACACTGATGATCATTACTTCCACGGGGTCAACCTGACCTCGTCGTAGACAACACCGTTGCGATTGAGAACAAACTGCACACGCATAGACTCCTCGGTAGAATCAACACGGAGATAGCCCCAGTCGTTCACGTGACTCATGCTCCACTCGCCCAACTTGTTCGAAAAGCCTTGCTGCTCCAGTCCAGCGCCTGCAGAGCCAATTACAATGTGAACGGGTCCCTGACCGTCCTCGGTACACTTCCCGTTGCGCACTGCACAGCTGCGTTCGTATGAGTGTTGGTGGCCCACCAACATGAGATCGACCTTGTGATCCCAAAGCAGACCTTCGACCTCATCACGAAAGTGCTGAGCCACCTTGTAGTCGGCTTCCTCGCCGAGCTGGGTTGTGTACATCATTCGATGAGACGTAAGAACGACCCATGGTGTCTTCGTGCGGTCCACACTCTCCAAGTCGTTTTCAAGCCACTTGTACTGCTTCGATCCGCGGCGCCAGTCGTGCTCTGATGAAACTTGGACGACATGGATCCCACCATAATCAAATGAGTACCAGTAGATGCTATTGCCATTGGCAGGGGCATCCCAGCGGTAGAACATTGGCACCGAACATTCGCCTGACGAATCGTCGCCATAGTTAGCCCAGTCGGGGTGAAAGCCCATTCGTCCATCTATCCCCGTAGCCCCGCTTGGATCGTTAGCTCCACCCGTCATGTAATCGTATTCGTGGTTGCCAATGCTCACCATGTATGGCACACGAGTAGCATGTGGCTCAATGACGTGAAAAAACTCGTCCCATATGTGTGCATGGCCCCGAGCGTAGCTGACATCGCCGAAGTGCAAGAGAAAGCTGTCGTACCCACCGCCCACAACATCTTGATACGAACGCGCAGCCGTCGAAATCGCCGCAGGTGCAGAATCCACACCCATATCGGCATATGCGATAAACTTGGCGCTTTTCACAGATGCATCCGGTCGACTCATGAACGAATACACCGAACTCCAGCCATCTTTGTCGCTGCCAAACTTGTAAAAGTATCTCGTCCCCAAGTTCAGTCCTTTCAAAACAACTCGATGCATGTAGCCAGGGTCTCGAAACCACTGCTGACTACTATGGTTCGCTGGGTGACTGCACAAGTGCGCAGCAGTGTACGTCTTCGACTTGCCCTCTGCCTGCTGATCCAAAGCAGAAGCGAAGAGACCGTACTTGACCACTGGAATCTCTTGAGACGCCGAGTTGAACATCACCGACATCTCGTCCTCGTTCTCAGTAAATGCAACGTGTCCTTGCTTGGGAGCAGTGAACGCCTCAACCATTCCAACTTGCAGTTTTGCAAGCCGAGCATAGACGTTGCCTTGAGGCTGAAAGTTAAAGTACTCGACAGTGTAATTGCACCGCATCATGTACAGCGACGAGAAGCGGACAGTATTAGACTGCTCCTGACCATCCACCCCTGTCCCCTTGCCCACTGTAACGTGAGCCTTGGCTAGAAAATCAGCTTCATGAGCTTGCGGACCGCAGCTGAGCCCTACAAAGTCCGTAGCATGGGGACGCTTCACACCACTCCAGGAGACCACCAAATCCTCTCCGTCTTCCAGCAAAGACGGCGATGCAGTCAGTACCACACTTCCCACCTCTCTAGCTCCCTGTTCCTCGATAGAATCACGTAAAAACGCAGATTCTTCGTCCCGCATGGCGTCCCATACATTGGTATCGACGTTATTGTCGACAATAATGGGCGGCTGGCTATCCAGAGTGTCACGCAGCGTGTCTTCGTATTGGTACCGAATCCCGGGCTTCTCTGCCTGGATGAGGACGGACAGGAGAGAGACGAGAAGGACAAGAGACGCGGCCATCGAGCGCTAAGGAACGGATGGGGTTGTTGATGTTGTTGCTTTGTTCTTGTGACCAGATTGGACCTGCGAAATCGAATGGCACTGTATGAATTGATCGGCTGATTGATTCTGAGAGGACTGCGTGTAATTTTGACCACTGAGCGTGCGAGTCGTGGTTACTTACTGGAAATATCAGAACCACCACGGCGTCATGGGCATGAATTTCTGGCACTCGACGCACTAGTGCGTGGGTTGATAAGCAAGCGACAGCCGCTCATTGCGCTCTTTTGTGGCTAACGTACTGTCCCTGTTTATATTCTGTGCAGTTTGTACTGGATGAAGGATGTGAGTAAAGCCGACCTGCGCAAGAGGAACCCGCTGGACCGCAAGCACCTGACGGACGATGAGATCGATAGTATCCATCTCGCGAACATTTCTCGTGAGTTTTGTGTCATTAAGTAGCAGTATAGGCTGCTGATTTTGACCAATCGCTGGGGTCGTGAGAGTGACGAGGTTGTGGTAAATGTTGACGATCATGATCTTTGATTGGTGAATAACTGCTAGTGCTGGAGGAGATCGGACCCCGACTACGGGTTCGGCAGATCATCATCTACACTGCAATTATCTTCTATCGTCGGTTCTATCTGACGTACGATGGCGTGGCTACAAAGTGCGTTGATTGTGAGTTTTTTATTGTATCTCACACTGGTGTCTTTGTTCTGCAGGCAAAGTTTCGTCAACTTCGATCCGCATCTAGTGGTTGGAACGGTGTTCTTCCTTGCCTCTAAAGTGGAGGAAAGTCAGTTGTCATTGACCACCGTGACGTCGGTTCTTCACCATTATACCTCGAGTATATGACCTTGCTGCAATAATGATAGATTTAGGGTTTTGATGGTTGACGGGTTGTGTGTGTTTGTCATTGGGACTCTGTAGATGGCGTGGACGAAGACGAGTCCATGTACACGTTTCAAGACAAGGATATCCTTGAGTGCGAGTTTCACGTGATCGAAGCACTGCAGTTCGATCTGATCTTGCACCACCCGTTCCCGTCTCTTCTCCAGTACGCCGTCCCTGTGCTTTACTTGCTTGTTAGTGGTATGGATTGGACGTAGTGCTCACTCATGTTTCTCGTTGGACGCAGGCTTTTGGACGAGTTCGACATTCATGAAGAATGTCTCCATCTCGCATGGTAGAAACTGTCTTTTGCGCGTACTTTTGCGTCTGTTGCTAACGCAATGTTCTGGATGTGCCTATTTATTGGCATCTTAGGCAATTAGTACAATACTCGTACCGGACTCACATAATTATTCTGTACCCGCCATTCATGGTGGCGTACGCAGCCGCTTACATTTCGTGTCGAGATGCAGGCTACGACGCTGCACAGGTGTTTGCTACGGTGAATATCAAGCAGGAATTGCTACTGAAAATTGTCGGCGAGTTTCAAGAAGCAGTAGAGGACGAGAAGAAGCTGTTTGTGGTGCAAGCCGCAGCTCTAGAGCGACTGGACGAGATCATCCCGGATGCCGTCGCGGCTGAGACCGAGGTCACCCCCAATGCGTCAGCAGAGAAGTGAATTGGATGGTGGTGGTGAGAAAAGCATGCAATAATGGATGGCGCAATCGACACCTTAACCTCTACGACGTGGTGAACTCAATGCCGAAAATGTGGCACGTATGTTGTACATGCCAATGTCCCACTGAACCCGTGGGGATGACCATGGTGGGTGAGTCACATTGGTTGTTAAGGTGGTTGCCACATGTAAGGAACGCCATGATCTTTCTAAATGTTCGACAGCTGTGAACAATAACCTAAAGACGACTCGTGCGACTCGCATCTTGCGTAGGTACGTTTCAGCCACTTGCGCGAGGACCGGTTCGATTGTCTTCCGTCCAGAGCGAATCAGGACACGCCATCGACAAGTGTACTGAAGCAGATCCAGAGTTACGCCTGTAAGTCCAGCGGGACACGTTGGAGCCGGCCATGGCGTTACGCGCGGTACTCTATGCCGTTGCTTCTTGGCTAGACGTCCGCACTTATCAGCAATGCATACATGGCGCGACTGAACCGCCATGAGCAGAGATCCTTTACCTGCTCATAGTGCATTGAAGTTTACCATGTTGCAGTTACTTGCAAGTCGAACCCGAAGTAACGTTGAAGTTAGACTGTACACCGTCCCCTTGACGACATGACGAGATGTATGTCGCTTGAACCTTGAAACTTGTCTGCGACGTTGACGTCGTGTATACACGGGCGCGTATCGCAGATGACACGCGCATACGGACGCGATCGACAGCATGGACTTATCTTGACTATCGATTGTTTCAAAAGCTCCTGGCGCCCTTTCAACTCTGATCTGCTGTCTACTTGCTTGGCCGAATCTGCACGACAAACTCTGCGCAGCAACTTTTGCGACGGCACCACGTCGTGGATTCGTCGTGCACCAAATAAATTCCGTCGAGGCTGGACAAATCGCCGAAAGTGTCGCACAGAGTTTCCGCGATTTGCTTAGCCTCGACATGACAGCGCTCGAACTTGTCGCGACTTGCTAACACTATACGCCATCTGGATAGCGAACAAAGAAAGGCATCATCAGACGCCATCTGGGTAGCGAACAAAGAAAGGCATCATCAGCCGCCATCTGTCACGCGATTTCCCTCACTCCCAGTCGAAATGACACGATGTCATCCATCGTGCCCAAGTTCAACCTACAGCGATGATGGACAAGTGATCTGAATCTATAGAATGAATAGATCCGGACGCCAGCTGACAGATGTATCAGCTCGTCGAGCTCCTCCCGCGGCCTTATCGTTCCATCAATTGGCAGTGTGCAAGAAACGCTCCAACGCGGACGTCGAGGAGTCTTTTTGCCACAGGAAACGCCAGCAAAGGGCCCCAGCTCCGCCTTTATCGACAACAGCAGCAGCAGCAGCAGCAGCAGCTGGTCGTTCGTTCGTTTCATTTCCGTTTCGACCCCTTCATTGCCATCGCTCCATCTGGTGTCTCGTGTTCCCTTCCATTCCCGCACTTCGTCACTCTCCAGCAGCCGCCACCGCCGTCGCTATGGTCATGCAGAGTCTCTTTTCCCAGTCCGCGCCCGCGCCTCAGCGCGTTTTACACACGACGATCGCCCACGTCTCCAAGCCAACAGCTTCGAGCGCCCACACGTACACGCAGTTCCTCGTGCGCGTCTCGGACGAACGCTCGCCGGGTCTCAATTGGGCCGTCTACCGCCGCTACTCGGAGTTTCGCAACTTTAAACTCGCGCTCGAGGACGCGGTCGAGCACCGGGACACGTGCGCCCACTGCGCCGTCATGGCCAAGCGCACGTGCTTCGTGCTGTTCCCGCACCGGCGACTGTTTGGGAACTTGCGGCCAAAGACGCTGGAAACGCGTCGCATTGGCCTCAATGAGTTCCTCGATGTCGTGACGAAACACGCGCGGACTTGTCGCGAGAGCATGACGTGCCAGACGCGGCCGTTGATGGACAAGTTCCTCATGGTGAACGACATGCGGTACACGTACTTGAACGTGGACATGGAAGCGGAGGCCGAGCCAAGTACGAAAGAAATTGCTGGAGACGAGAGGAAGAAGGGGTTGAGGATCAATGGCTTGCAGCGTCGGACGTCATCGTTGGTGAGTCGGACGGACCGACGGAGTCTTGGCCGGGATGAAGCTTCACGTAGCTGCTCGGAAGAGTGGACGCCCTTATGTGAAGAGCACGTGACTGATCCGATGGCAGATCAGTCTCAGGTCGAGGAGATGAATAGGGTAGCAGGTGTGGACACTTTATGTACGGCAGAGCAGACAAGGCAGCAGCAAGATGTCGAGGTGAAGCACCGCACTGCACCGACTGTTGGACCTCTTGGCAGACGAAATGTCCAGCATTCCTTCGACCCTCGATGTCCCACAGCGGCCCCTGCAATGCGTCAGAGTCTCACGTCGGGATGGGAACCGACGGCAACGCACCAAGCGAGCTCGTCCACGTCCCGTCATTCGGACCCGGGTCTTGCTCTGAATGAGCTGCTGAACTTTACACGCGGAAGTTTCTCAAGAGCTGGACGTCCGCATCGTGCCGAGAGCCGTCTGCGCTTGCGCAAAGTGCACTTGTCATCAGCAGCCAAGCGTGTCAAGAAGCTCGAAGAAGCGGAAGCGCGCTTTTGTGTGCCGAGTCAGACTCGATTGCCCAGGTGTCCTCCGAAACTCGCGTGCATTACCGAGGAGAATTAGCTCCAGGGTGAGCTGCCTCTCTTTTTTAGCCCAGCCCCACCAGTATGGAAAGCGGCGGTCGGCGTGTACAGTTTCACCCTAACGCAACCTAACTTAGAAATCAGACCCTGTGCTGGGGCACGACTACACTTTGTCGTGGAGGTCGTGCCAACAACGACAATAATAATAAAATGTCGCACGGTCCACTTGGTTCCTAAAATTTGTCACACGGGCGGCGTGGATCCGTACAGTTCACAAAATAGATCCCGTGAACTTTATGTAATAACGGATACGCATGCACATTGAAGTAAATTTACACAGTGGACACATAAATCCACTGGAGCGCTATTTCGATTAGAAATGTTACTGTTTATCGCTCGGGTCTTCAGTTCCTCATAGACTCGTGCTTGGACTTCAGTTGAATCTCTAGATGCTGGACCTCGATACAAACTTCGGTACCGCTTGGACAATCGAGCACGATCAGAGCCAACCATGCCCAGGAGCTGTCATTTATCCTGTGATTACGCGAACCCCGCCGAGAGCCGCGATTGTGTGGGCAAAGTCGTGGTTTGGCTGCTTGATGAACATGAGGTTCTTGGGCTGGCTGTACTTGCGTGAGACCCACTCGACCATGGCGGGTCCAAACGAGCCCTCGACGCTCAGGAAATTGAGTTTAATCTTAAGGTAAACGTGGTCGAACATGGACACGGTCTCCTTGAACCCTTCGGGCACGTCGGTTCCTCGAGGGTGGCAGTGCACGATAAATAGCGTGTGTGTCTGCTCGTTCGTGCGCACGTACAGGATGGCTTTGTTGGTGACATTCAGGCTCGGGGTCTTGCAGAAGAAGAACACGGCAGGTTCGTTGATCACACGGATGAACCGCGCGATCGTCTGACCGCCGCGAGCACCAGTTCGCAACGAGTGAGTTTCTTCTGCATTTTCATTGCGCTGAGATGGGCACAGTCGGCGCATGCAGTAGAGACACATCCGCAGTAGAAATGTGCGCTCGAACATGATGTATACAAGAGACAGCACTGCAATAAAGTACAGCGAGAAGTACGTGAGAATCGTCGGGTCGCCCAGCAAGTTCCCCATAAACGTCGCCATCACCATCGATACTCCCAAGATACAGCTCCACCAAGGCGCAATCACCGTACGCGGGAGCTCCGCACGCTTAAATTTAAGCAGCATGCAACCAATGCCGAACAGCGTCATAAGTCCCAGGAACGCGTACGTGTACACACCGGAGAGAGTCTCCGTATCACCATGCAAGATCAGCACGAGACTTGTGGCCACGAGGAAGTAGCCGATAATAATGAAATGGTTCGTGCCGCGCGCCTTATTCACATGTAGCAAAAAATCCGGCAGCACACGGTCACTAGCCAGTCGACGGACGAGGCCGACAACGCCCACGTATGCAGTCAGCACAGCACCTGACAATACGATGAACGCATCCAGCGCGACCACCAATTGCATGTGCTCGCCTGCAACTTTCAGTCCCATTTCAGCCAAGACAGTGTTCTTCTTGTCCACAATACCACCGGGGCCATTCAGCGGTAACACACCAAGGGACAGCAGAGCGATCATCGGGTTGAAGATAGCGACACCCCACCACATGTTCTAGTAGACATTGACATGAAAACAGGCAGACACCAGGCGTAAGTTACGTGAGATCATCATCAAGCTCAAGCTCAGGTGAGCCAACCGAACGTACCCGCAGGGTCTTTGGGAAAACGCCATCCGCCTGTTCTTCGACAAACTGTGACGACGACTCAAATCCAGAGATCCCCAGCATCGCGGATGACGTGCCAAAAAAGATCGCGGTGAGGAAGTTCCCTGACACGGTTTCGCCCGCGAGATTGATGTCCGGGAACTCCGTGCCAAAGTTTGCTAGCAGCGTCCGGAAGTCGTCTTTCACGACATACACCATGGACAAGATACAGAGCACTGCCAACGTCGTGGCATGCGCGATAAAGATCACAAGAGCCACGACGGCGCTTTCAGTGATGCCCACGATACTCAACATGGCAAAGAGAAAGAGCAGTCCAATAGTAGCTGGCACGATCTCCATTGACAGCACGTGCGACGTCAAGTAGTTGCAAGCCGACGTGCCCGAGACCACTCCCGTGGCAATGTACGACAAGATTGCAAGTGACGCCGCCATTGCTGCCACACGCTTGGACGTCGTGTTCAGTAGCACATTGTACGAGCCGCCATTGAGCGGTACAGCGTTCAGCACTTCACCGTAGATCAACCGGTAGAGGTACAGGATGCCTGCAACAATGGCAAGAGCTACTGGTGCGAGTTTCCCAGCCTTGGACGCCACAAGACCCGAGACGTAGAGGCAGCTGGACAGGATATCGTTCCCGCAAATGGCTGTTGCAAGCCACTCGGAGAGCTTCGGGTGGTCCATTGACAGCTGTGCTTGGATCTCGTTCAGCTCGGTCTCGCTTGCTACTGTTGAGGTATTATCGCCCCAGCCAGGAAACTCCCATCCCTTGAGAGCGTTCGTGTGCTTGTTCACGTGGAGCATGAGGGGACTGAGCGGTGGCGTATTGGAGCCAAGACCCAGTCGAGCGTGGCGCGGGACGGCTCCGTAGCGCTGCTCGTGGTCGCTCATGGGTACACACTCCAGTCGCTTCTGAGGGGGCAAAAGACTGCAAGTGGTGATGGCAAAGATCGGGTGGATCAGCTGGAGGTGGTACAGTAGGACTACTGATATTAGCACGTAGGGCTTCTTGGCAGCTGCTGAGGTTACTGTTGACGTAGCGATTACTTCGCTGCGCTGATTGGTGGATGTGTTTTGACCAATGGATAGGAGGCGTGTGAAGGCTCACCGAATTTTACGGCAGTGGAGCGATTGATTTGGCTCAAGTATGAGTTGGATCGTAGTAGACCATGAGTCAGTAATGCTCGACACGAATAACTATCTACGCTAATAAAAAGAGGTGACCTGAAGGAAGTCTCACGCAAAGTCTTACTTGTGAGTAGTGTAAACATGTATGAGTCTTATCAACCAATCAGTTCTGAAGGAGAGATGCCACTTGTGATCGAGGGTATCAAGACGTGGTACGAAAGCCGAAATAACCTTCAAGTCGCAGCCATCGAAGTGAAGCTGGGGAGCTTACCTGCGTAGCTTGAACGATGTTACACATATCACTTGGCCACCATTCAAAGCGCCACACGTATCTCATGGACGCCAGTTGTCGTTTATATTCATCCACGCACTCGGTGTTTCATTAAACTCCTGACAACGTCTGGACAGCCGGGGAGAGCAAGTACGTTGCGACACGTAGACGAACTAGTTCGGTGCTCTTGTCCCGTGCAACGGTACGTCAACACACTCGTGCACATAGACCTAAAGGTCATTCAGCTGCTTTACGTTCGTGCGCAGAAGGTCTTCGTCCGCACCAGAAAACTAGAGAGCAAAAGAGATGTAGTGAGACAAGCGTTTGCGCGACCACCAGCACTTTGATCATCGTGTACCGAGAGAGACTGCTGGAACTTGCCATCCTTGAAGTAGAAGAACGTAGGCATCGACTACATACACCCAACCAACCAGCAATCATAAGTCTTCACAGCACCCTCACTTGATCACAACAAAAACATCACTCACCCGCACACCAGCCTTGGAAGTAGTTTCATTGAGCTCGTCGACGTCCAGCTTGGCAAAGTCAATGTCTTTGTACTGGGCACTACATTGCCAGCACCAGCTCTCAGTCAATTCCTCGCTCACACGGCCACTCAAAGCATCTCTCCCACCTCAGCTCATCAAAGATAGGACCAATCATCTTGCAGGGCGGACACCACTTGGCAGTAAAGTACACGACCGCTCGGCGTCCCGGTCCCTCCTAAAGCAGCCAACAGCGACCGCACATATCGCGTCACACGCGCTATATCCCCACCGAAACAACAGCACGAACCGTTGTAATCTTCGCGTACGCATCGTCGGACCCAATGATCGTCACACGACTATGCACGCTCGAGGACAACGCACGGCTATTGTGCAGTGCGTGTCGACCCGCCCGGGCGATCAGTCCTCTCATTAGTGACCTAAACCCCCGAAAGATGCGTGAGTGAGAGGGAGCTATGCCTCTCTCGCACCTCGAAATCGATCACAACTGGCACCTGGGAATCTATATTCGTCATATCAAACCTCGTAATTTATTATCGGTAAATACCCCCCCCGCTGATAAACCGGTACAGCTCTTGTGAACCCACGTGCGTCGCCGTCGTCATCCAACGATCGATAACCATGGACAGCTCCGAAGCAGCAGATTGCGATGTCCGCATGGCTACACGGGCAGGACGCCGAGTCGAGCTGCAGAAGCTGTCCAGCGAACAAGCCGAGTGGATGCTGTACCGCACGTTGTGCCAGTTCCGACTCGGCTACTTCTCCTTCCTCGTGCTCATCTGCATCCTCATGTTCAGCGTGACGCTCCTCATGGAGATCTTCTTTGCCATTTTCCTGCCCAGTGCACGCATGGATCCGTACTTCACACTGCGTTCCATTATGCTGCTGGCTCTTCTACCTATTGCACTGGTTTTCCTGTCGTACTGCTTTGAAGAGTCGAGTCGGCTCTTCCTCGATGCCATTGATACGAGAGAGGGCAGTCTGGCCAACTTTCGGCTCTCGCTCTGTGTCTGTATCCATTACCTACGGCATTGGCGCGAGATGCCGGACGATCGACTGGAGAGAGCAAAATTTGACGTGTTTAGAGCGGACGACGAAGACTTTGAAGCGTGGGCACGTTTCGTGAGCTGGATCACAGCAGGACCGAGATATCTGCTGAGCACGATCTACACGAACGATCCGTTTAATGACGTAAACAAAGAGTCGGAGGATGAGCGGAGGTATGAACTGGAGCTGCTGTTTCAACGACAACACAGTGGGAAATTGGGAAACGAGCCTCGCAATCGTTTCGTGTGTCGTCGCAGTAGTAGCAGTAGCAGCAGCAGTAGCAGCAGCAGTAGCAGCAGCAGTAGCGACAACTTACCATCATCCCGGTGGAAACGTGCTTTTCACGCTGCAAGTACGACTGTCAAGTTCAACACTACGCACTTTGACGGCCCGCCACTGGACTTTTCCACGCTCGTTATCACGGACGTGATTTGTCCGTTTGTATTCGAGTTTATCACGCTGTGGACGTTTATGGTCTCGCTGGTTGCAAACATGTCGCCGCTCGCTGCCTTCCTGGACTACATCCAGTGTGGCTTCTACATGCAAGCAATTTACTTGGGTCTGTGGATGATCTGTCACTTTTGCAGTGCTAGAAACCGCAAGATGAGGGAGTTTGTAAGCAACTACCGTCGCCGGTACCGTGACATGCAACGAGAGCTCCTGGAAATGGAAAACGAAAAGCGAGCAGAACACCTTTGGCTGGTCAGCATTGGCTTTCGTGCCGTAGAGCAGTTCCAAACCAGTTTTTTCACGCTAGTTGAAGCGATTTTTGAGCTCAGTGGACGTGTCTGCAAGAGACTTTCACTACGGGCACCAGCAGCGGACTGTGCGACAGCAACAAGTAGCGAAGAAGACCAGCCTTTGCAACCTGGGGATGTTGTACAATACACACAAGTAGAATTGGATCCGGAAGTACTTGTTGAAGGTACGTGTGACCCCGTTGAAGACGCCAACGAGACCCAAGAGGCCCTGGAAGGAAAGCAGCGCATCCGTAGAATTGGTGAGCGCATGCGTGGACTGAATCTCTGGTCAAAGTTTTCTTACGACCGTCGGCTACGGATCTTGTGCCCAATGGTCATCATGAGTGCCATCATCTCGTTCTATGCATTCTATGTTGGCTGGGGAATCATGGGTATCTGCCTCATTCTGCTTGGTGACACGATCCAGGCCAAGTTCCCTCAGGTATGGTTTAAGACATCTTTCACCTTGTGGCTTTGAGCAAAACCTGATAGTGTTTGTGGAATTTGCACAGATATTCGGTCTCACCTTCAAGTCTTTCATCACGTTCTTCGTGATTCTCTCATTTGTGTTTTTTTCATCGACATGGGCGGTCGGAACTTTCGTTCACGGTGGAGACTTTCTCGTACATCCGCCGACGGCAAACCCCCGGCTTGCTCCAGCTGATCTGTTCACGGCGAAGCCAGCACTGCACTGGTCAAAGGTTGCCGAGTATCCCGTGTGCGCACTGGACATGGAGTCGCTTGATATTGTGGATTTTGCCCTCATTGCAGACGCAATGTACGGATGGAATACAGCAGTCCAGCTGCAGTCGTTTGGCCAACGCTTTAACGGCACTGTGCTCGGCGACTGGAAGTACGTATCGCGCAACGACGAAGCAGCGAACCATCAAGTATGGGCTGAGCTATACTTCCCCACGATCAATATGACTGTCATAGCCGTTCGAGGAACAGCTACAGCGACTGATGCTCTCGAGGATCTTCACTACTGGTTTGGCGTGAGCATCATGCAAGCTGCAAATATCTTTGTTCCGTTTTTGAAACAGCTGCCGAGTCAATTTGTCGTCGAGATGCTATCGATGAAGTTCCTCCGAGCGGTCATGCCTCCTCCAGTGTACTCCGAGTTGCTGGATCACGTGAGTGCAGTGCAAAAGCGTGTTGGCGACCGCCTTGTGCTCACTGGTCACAGTCTTGGGGGTGCAATGGCAGCAATGGTTGGTGCCAAGACGCACACGCCCGCCGTGTCGTTCTCCGGACCCGGATTGTTGTACACACGTGGTCGGTTTGACGTCGATGACGAATCTATCCGTGACTACGTATTGACCGTGAAGCCTCGACGTGATATCGTTCCGCAGGTTGACGAGCTTGGTGGAATGGTGCAAGAAATCGAGTGTCGGCGCGACAATCCACTTGCCTGTCATAGTACAGTTACACACATGTGTGAGCTCTATGCTGCGTGTGGTGACAAGCGCAAACGTGACTGGTCCAAAGCGAGTCAGTGCGAAGCGTATTTCCACGGCAAAACCGACCAACTAGGCCCATGGTCAACTGAATAGTAGACTAGTCATTTCGAGCCGGATGAAGCGGATTAGCAGATACTGTCGCAAAAAATAGGTTTCGATATGGGAGTTTCGCTCTACTTACCGCGTGTTTAGTCGCATCAAGTGTAATAATTACGTACAAAATGTCGACTCGTCCATCGAATAATAGCATCGCTCAAGTGTCCCGTCTCATGACTTTCTTCCGTCGAAACGAACAATGAATCGCGTCGCACGTGACCAAGTCCCGACGGAGGTGGCGACGACGCTGCCCCCCTCAGCTGAGGCAGCTCGTCGCTATACGATACAACTGCAGCCGCGGCCGCATGTGACGTTCGACGATGGTGTCGTGGACAACGAGCACCTTGGACGCAGACGGTCAAAAAGTAGGACATCGCGCTGACCTGCTGCTACTTTTCTGGAAGTTCTGATGGCTGCTCATTTGCTTGTTGTCGTGTGCGGTAGAATGCTGCGTTTTCCACCGGAAAAAAGACTTTGGCGAGAGCTCGAGCGAGAGTAGCGACGAGGATTCGGATGGTGCAGATGATCCAGGTCGTGGCACCGATAGATGTCGTCGACAACATGACTGCAAGCGCACGATTTCGCGTCGCACGAGGCCGAAGAAGCGACTGCCATCTCCATCTTCTTCCAACGACGATGACGAGGAGAAGACACGTGCACCAATCAAGCAGGAGGAGGATTAATACGCGAGTAGTGTGAAGTGTGCGCTGTAAAGACAAGGCGAGCCGAAGAGGAACGTACTTCTGTATTCGACGTAGGCCGTTGTGGACTTGCCGAGAGTATTGTGCTCGGGAAGCTTTTCCCACGTTCGTAAGCACTACATGCACGCACTAAACATGAGTCACAAGGATGCTGGCGTTGATTCACTTGTGTACCCTCGCCTAAGCCTTCACTCCTGGCTGTTGCGTCGTCTCCGCGTTTGCGGGGGCCTCCGCTTTCGACTCGTTGTCCTGCATTGTTTTAGTTTCCTGTTCCAGTTGAAGTTCGCTGCATCAGCCTTGTGAAAGAACGAACAAGCAGACAAACGTTACTTCGTACCTGATTTTGATCGACAATCAGCATGCAGTCGATAATCGCGCGCGAATTCAGCAGCGAGTTGTCCCACAAGTTGAGCAAATGGAGCAAAAAGTTGTGACGCAGACCGTGGTCCAAGAGCCTGTGAAAGTAACGATTGGCGCTCAGTTAATCGCTACATCGATCCCACCTTCAATACAGTGCACTGCTGAAAACTACCATTTTCCGTATTTCCTGGCGAACATGCGGCACGAAGACGCTACCATGAAGTCCGCTAGTATCCTATACCAACACAAGACAGCAAACGTGAGTGATGATCACTCTTCAATCATTGTAGTATTCACTGCAAAGTTGCACACTTGAACTCCTTCACGTGACGATTCCACTTCTTCATAAACTCCTTCTCTTCCAGCGAGACGTCTTCGAACTCGTCTAGCAACTGTACGGTATCAAAGTAGGCATATCAGAGCTCTAGCGAAAGTACAATAAGAAAACCGACAGGCCCTTGCCACTACTCTAACGACGTACCCGCTCGCTTTGTTTGGTAATCCACGTCTCATCCACATCATCGTCGCTGTCATAGTTCTTTTCGTGGTCTAAAACCACAGCACCAGTTCGGGAGTGGAAGTACTGCCGCTGCAGGAGTGGCGCATAAAACTCTTGCGGATGCTCTTGCGAAAGTTCATCCAGCTCATCAAACTCTTGCATCAGGCCTTCAACGGCCTCCACTGCCTGAGAGCCACGGGGACCGTACTTCTTGGATATGTGCACATAAGGGTGCTCATTCCGGCTCGGCTTCTCGCTAGGAGACATCTCAAGCTCGGAGAAAGCCGACCGAACTTCACAGCTGCTTTTTCCTGAATTGTGTTTTTGCACCATCACATAAATATGCGGGATGTTATCGTGTCCAACCTGGGACAGCAAAGACCCGATGCTTAGCTCATCAAGCGTCGCGATAGACAGCCCAATCAGTAGCAAACTCACTGTGGCCTGGAAATGAAACCGGTCATGGGACGATATCAAATGGGCCACGAGCCCACGCAACGATCCAGCAAACATGTTGCACCACGCACATGAGTACTCTGACCGCTTCTCGCTCATTCGGCGTAGCATGAAATGGTAGAGAAAGTGAAACCACACCTGTACGATGAAGACGAAAGCAAAAAAAGTGACGCATCTTGTGCCGGCATCCTATCCTACACAAATCGTGCGAATCAACATGGAACGTACCCCTGCACATGGCCTGCGAGCAGCAGTCGAAATGTCTCGCTTGGGAACTGCTAGCAAAAAGTTCTCATTGGACTGCTCTTCTTCATCCTCTTTCCTGAACTTCGTGCTACAAATGGTTTCCAGACGCTGCATCTTTCCCGTCTGTGGCAAGCGATCCCACACGATGCGGAACTCGCACTTGACACCTGAAACCATAAAACAAGTACATCGCATCAGCGTCCGAAGAACAGCAGAACGACCTGCTAGTTTGCAGAACAAGCACTCACCTCCATGCACTGAGGTCGCAATGGCTAGCAACTCGACAGTCACAAGACCGACACGACGTCTCGACACACCAAGTCTCCATAGATTGCTAAACAGCGGCTTTCGGCCGTCAATTTCCATCGACAGCAATTCTTTTCCCCTCAGACTAGTGGCTGTAGAAGGCTTTGAGAAAGTCAAAGACGATTGAGCGGCAATCGCTTTATCCCCAATGCCAATCTCCACCAAGTAAACGACCATGACAGTGACATAGGCACTTTGACTCAGCAGCTCTGCAGGGAGCACAACGTGCTTCGCAAAAGGCACTGGAATCAAGCACGTGGCCAGCAGCTTGAACTCATTGTCACGAAACAGTTTCCCATCTGCTTGAAACAGCGAGAGCAGCACTCCCACACGCTGAGTCTGGCTCTGAAAAGCTTCCATCGTCTCGGACGTCATGCCGATCTTGAACTCGGTCAACGTGGCTCCAGCCTGCACCATCCTGACCTGCTGCTTGGGCTTCAACTTCACCTTCTCCTTGTTTCCCGTTCCTTCTTTCAGTTCCTTCTGCTGCCACGCTGGATCCAAGCGATAGCTCAATGTCCGAGGCAGGAACAAGGGACTCTGGAGATGCTGCACCTCCAGCAACTTATACAGCGCCGTGAGACCGTGGTACGTCGCGGCAAACTCTTCCTCCATATGTTCCTGACGCGCTTTACTCAGCGGCACTCGGCGCTCGTGGCTGGCATCGCGCTTGCGTTTGCTGTGACTACCGCCGGTACTTCCACTCGCTTGCTTGGACATGGCTTCGCTCGAAATGCCAAGCCGCTGTTGAATCGAAACCTCTGCAAGAGGATACCGCGAAACGCGATATCGTAGGTCACGAGCGCAAAAAGGCTAGAAGACCGACTTATTCGATACGCTAGGATCGCAGACTCCCACCTCATAACTGTAAAAGATCGTTTTTCTTAAATTCTTCCAACGGTTTTTATTAAATTCTTCCGCCGTTTTTTTTCCTGGAGTCGCTGATATTCAACCAATCGGAAGCATCAGCAGAACCAGACCCAAATAAATAAATGACGACGACCGCAAGCACGCGCGACGCCGCCGCGTCTGAGCCTCTGTCTCGTCCAGCAGCGCCTTCACCACCAGTATCAGAAGCTGATACGTATGTACTGCGAACGTTTGCCGTCCTCCTCTGCAGCAGGTGCCAGTTCCTCGAGTTCCCAGGCTGCGACGTGCATGGCTCGCTCTATACCGAGCAGCTCGTCGAACCGGATGGAAAGCTCCAGGCCAAGTGTCCAAGCTGCTCGGCAGCTACGAACAACGCGCGGCCATTTCGTGATGGCTGTCGACGGTGCAAAGCGCCCACGACTGTATCCATGTGGTGCTGCTCGCTACAGGAGGTGCAGCAAGCCATGAAGGCCTTCCCCGTAATGACTGAAGCGATTGCGCATACAGTTCTCACGTGTGAGCGCTGTTTGAGTGCCATTTTCCCTCGACATCGTGACGTTCTTACGCTTCGCACTGAACTGGAGCCATTGACAGCAGTAGCTACTGGAATGGCGCTGAATGTGGCGAATTTCCAGCTAAGTATGCCTCATGTAGACGGCTGTTGCCGAAGGCAAATGCCGCTACAAGCAGTGGCTGTGCAGCTGCCGAAGAGTGAGTTGAAGTTTGCATTTGAGAGGATGGAGAGGTGTCCAATTACACCAAGACTCACAAGCAGTCCACGGTATCGATCGAGACCAGTGGAGATTATCACACAACAGAACCATCTGCATCAGGTAGGACCCTTGGACCGTGTTGCAACAATATTTGACGTTGTAGGTGCAAAATGTCTAAAAAAGGCCATGTGTTGCTGCAGGTTGCGATTCGGTTGCTGTCAACTGTCATTGATACGTTCGATCCGAATTCAGCGACTGCTGCAAGGCCTCTTCGGCAGGTTCGTCCCGATTGCTGAAACGACTAGAGCATGTTGTAATATTCGCTGTTTGTATCTTGTGTACGGCTAGGTTGTTGCAATGTTCGGGAAGATGGAACCGCTTGCTTTATTTTCAGAATGGTCGCCGCCTCGTCAGCTTTCAGAAGAGAAGGTGTTTCCGACGACGATTACTTCGAGCTCCGAGTTTGACGAGCAGCACGTGGCCTCGAAGTATGTTATGCCGTTGTGTGCTTGACTAAATGAGTCGTAATCAAGTTTGATGTGCTATGTATTGCTCATTTGGGCAGAATACTGGAAAGCGACTCGGGCTACTGGAGATCGGTTAGCAAACCCGATGAGAGTGCTCTACAGTCAGCCGAATGGATTGTGTGTCAGTTTAGCTCCGCGGTCACACTTTCATCGATCGAGCTGAAGTGGCGTGCAGGCTTTCTACCCGACTACTTTTCGCTCAGTGTTTCGAGAGATGGCGTGTCGTACGACACCGTGGCAGTAGTGGTAATAACCAAACATGAAAGCCGGATACTGGTACCAAAGGTCCGTCAGCTGCTGTGTGCTGCTACCAATGAAGCCCCTTCATGTAACTTGATTGCAACTTCACAGGGAAAGCTGGTGACCTCAATCAAAATAACGATGTTTTCTTCCGACACGGGTGGTAAGCAAGCCGTGTCATACGTCTTCGGAATAGTGTTATCCACTGCTAATGCACACCTGACATTGTATCAGGCAAATCGTTTGGACTTGATTCAATCGATTGCAAGGAGGCATCGTTCGACTCAGCGTACACCCCAACTGGGGTGGTGCTGCGAAATGTCCAGCGATGGCTTTATGATGCAGCGATTTCCTCTTCGTCTGAAGTTCGGGATCTTGCTGTGCAAGCTTTGCAGAGCCTTTTGCTCGCATCGGGTTCTCTTTGTGGGCTTTTGCAGCTAGCAACATGCCTTTTGCTCAATACGCGAGTAGGATCCACCACCGCGACTGCTGGCATTGAGAAACAAACGTGGAATCAACTAGATATACTTTCTGAAGAAGGACAATCTTCTGCGCATTCGTTCGTGCAAAAGTTGGCGGCCTCAATTCAGCGTATTGTCATTGGGGGTCATTCGCAAGTTGAAAGTCTAGACAAGTGCTACGTCGAAAAGTTGTTCTCGCTGCGAAGAGAAATCTATGGTTCGGAACGCAAGCTGTCAAACGAGGTGCGGTACTATCACCCTGGTTGACGTGTACGAGTTATGACGATGGGACTCTATGACACAGGATGTTTCGTGTGGCAATGATCCGCCGGCTTCTTTGATTGCTCTGCTAGTTAAGCAGCAATTCGGCTCGAAACTAATTGAGCGCAGGTCACAGGTACTTTGTGAACTGGAGGTCATTGTCAAAGTCAAAACGCACTAACAAACTGATGCGGTATTTCGTGCAGTTAGGTATGATTGTTTTGCACATGTTGAGCGAACTATCGGCTTGGCAACTGAAACGTATGCAGAAGGCCGAGGAATCCACTGGTGAGCGGGAGTTTGATCCATTGCAGCTTGAAGAGCCATATTCGATGGAAGTTTGCCCCGAGTTGTTCGCTATTTCACATCGGTTATTGACGGGTGTACTAGCCCGTTGGCTTTCAGTTCCGCAACAGGATCGAGTCTCTGCTTGTTCCAAAAAGCAGGTGGGGGTGGAAAACGGTGAAGGTGTCGCAAACGAAAATGACGATGAGGAATATAACTTTCAGAATCTATATGATGCCTTGGCTTCGTCCTTTGGGCGTTTTCGGGTGGTTCTCGAGAATCAGGGTAATCAAAGTGGAATCGACTCATCTCAGGGAGAAGTCAATCGAGTGTGCTCGGACAACTCCAAGTTTTCACCTGATGGACTGTGCGTTACCGTGCTTGAGATTATCACAACGAATCTTCGGCGCTTGGTTCTTTCCAGAATTAATCCGATCGAGATTGGAATAACGCCATCTCTGCCTCACAACGGGGACGATTCTTTGACAGCACCTCCAGCGTTAAACCCAACCATGGCTTTGCTAGAGCAGCTAATCTCACTTGGAACGAAACGTAGCGACGTATTCTTTCCTTTGTCATTAAAAGCCGCTGCGGCTATGGAAGTTGGTACCGACGCGTTTCACCCGTCAGCTCACCAGCGTACGAAAGTGCTAGCGTTGTGTATGGGGAAGGGAGCGACGCTGGAAGTGCAAGTACGCTGGCCTGTTCGAGAACGCGATCAAGAAGATCCACGCTACGAGAGACTCATTTTGATGCTACAACTTGAATGCATGAAGCTGGGGTTTCGGCACGCGGTTCGAGGAAGTTGGCACTTCTTCATGCACTTGGTAATTGATATGCCTTCCGTCCAAGATACGGGTAACGTGCTAACGCAGCACTTCGCTTCGTGCATTCAACGTGCGGGATTCTCATCGTGGCAAGTGGCTGCAGGCGCGCAGGAACTTCCCATTAATCTACAACGGCACCTTCACTGGAATCGTGAGGAGAATATGTCTCAACACTCAGGAGCCGGCTGGATTCGTGTGTATCCTGCAGGCGTTGCCGCGTACGATGAAGTGCTGACCGTGGTTGATGAATATCTCGCAAAGCATGCCGAGTAGATCGACGACAGTGACGCATCTGTAGAAGGTTGACCAAAACGATTTTGATACGATAGACTACAACACCAACCCTTGTTGTAATTGCATTCGAGCTAGATTCCACGAGCGACGAGCGTAAGCACTGCTTTTTCATCAACCGAGTAGGCAAAAACTGACGTAGCAACTTTGCCCGCAACTTTGGGGGTAAATGTTACCATCACCTCAATAAACTTCCGAGGCTTGATGGTGGTCGTGGAAAAGTTACACGAAAAAGGCTCTTGCAGGTTCTGTAGGAAGACCGTCATCGGTTTTGCTGATCCATTGCACACCTGCACTGGCACCTCGTGCGAGTCACCAACATTGCAGCATCCAAATTCAACTGCTACGGCATGGAAGTACAAGCCACGTCGCCGGCCACGCTTGGCGTAGTAAAACGAATCTGTCTGTGGGGAAAGCTGGTGCCGAAAGCGCACGATCTTGTCACACGGTGGAAGCATTTGAATCACACGCTGGTCCACCACAAGACCCACTTTGCGCGTGTAGGTTCTGCCAACTCGAACTGTAAGCGAATCAACCCAGTCTTCTTCGAGACGGTGAGGAGCAACCGGCTGCGACAACGGTACCACTGACACAGTGACTTCCGACGCTGGCTGGATCATTCCAGACGCCGGGCTTATCCGAATGTTGTCAAGCGCGCGAACTTTGAACGGCAATGCCTGAGCTGTGTTGTTCGCCAAACGAAGCTTGCCTTTTCGGAATACCTGCTCGCCATTCTTACCTCGGACACAAACAAACCGAATACACGCGGGAGTGACTGCCACATGTTCGGTTGAGGAGCTAGCTTGTACTCCCTGAACACCCATCCCGACAACGTCTGTTTCTTGATACCGACGTGCTGTTCTTGAGCTGCGTAACGCTTGTGATTCAGATTGCCGCTTCACGCTTGCTTCGATCACGATTTCATACGGGTCAAACAACGAATCAACGCCGACTCCTCTAAACTGAAATACTCCCGATACAGCGCCGGCATAACGCGCGCTGAAGGTAACATGAAACGCACTGGATGCTTTGGGTCCCAGCTCCAGCACCGCTGGCGATACGCTAAACTGCTGACATCCAGTGCTAAGAGGCAGAAGTGAGACACAAATTCTCCCAACTGAACTCGTTTCGTTTGTGAAAATGATCTGTTCCGTCATTACGTCACCGACAGAACAAAGGAACCTTCGGCTTCGATGTGGAGCCTGCAAACGTACATCACGAACTGCATGAGTATCGTAAATGAATTCGATAGATTGAACACAGAACTATCACCTTAGAAACGTCCGTCGCCAAGTGAAGTTCGTTGCGGTCAAGCTGCAAAACGCAAAGCACACGAATGAAAAAACCGATGGTGCTACAGCTACATGCAACACAGCGTACCGCATCAATAAGTCTGTCAGATGCCGTCGATTGTCGATATGCAGCACTTGTTTCCGGCTCGAAATCATTATTTGTAGCGTATTGACGATTCTTCCTCGACACACCGCACAACTGGCAGCCATTCTCCCTGGGACGACAGTGTGCGGCATTCAGACCGGCGTTCTCCGAATGTGAACTCACCAGTGGATCTCCGGCTATTCTAGAATGCTCGTGAACTCCATTATAGTGACTCCTTTTACAATCAGCATGGCTTATGCAAGGCCCTGTGCAAACGCCAGCACGCTCTTCGTCGTTTCCACGACTGATGTGATCATACTTTGACCGGTCCATGTCGTTGCGGAACGGGTTTTCGATAGCTACCAGTTTTTCCAGCGTTCGATCTTGTGTAGTTGACGCGGTACAAAGTTCCGGCCCACGATAGCTCCTACAATCATCTTCGGTTACATGCTGAGACACATCTGAAATACGATTCTCTTCAGAATGTCGCTTCTGCAAATTGTCCTCCCGCTGTTCTGGAGCTCCGTCATTCGAAGAGAGGCCAAGATCGTTCTGTGTTCGTGAAGCGTGAGCACCCGGATGAGGATGGCGAGAACCACTTACTTTTCGACTTTGAGGTGAAGTAATGGCGCTGGATGAACACGGGACTTCGCGAATGGTACCAAGCTCTGGCGTCTCTTGCGACCTACTTCTTCTCACGCCTTTCGTGACCTGCACGCCAGATCCAATGCCACTGGAAAATGAGTCAAAATCTCGACTACGTCGGTTTACGTCGTCGTCAACCTGGGAAATGGACGTATCGTCTCCCCAACTATCTGTCGTTCGTGAAAGCGGTAGCATGGATTCGAGGGGATGTTCGTAATCACGGACAAACTCACGTATGTCTTCTGATAGCTCAATGCCAAGCGCGGTCTTTGCATATGGCGCTGACGCTAATTGGACCGAGTTGTCAATCACGGCGTCAATTTCTTGTAGGGCTTCTTTGATAATGACTGGTCCGCGCTGCAGCATGGCCATATATTCCGGTGACGGATCATCGGGAAACGCCTGGTCCAGGAACGGGCGGTGCTTTGAAGCCACCGCCTTTGCCTCACCGACATGGTCTATACGGGTATTGTCACGCTTGTCTACGTCATCTTTTTCACTGTCGGTTTTCGATTGAGTCTTCCCCTAGACAAAATTCGAGATGTCAGTGCACGGCACATAAGCAAAGCTCTGCTCTCTCACAAACCTGTAGATGCTTCAGCGATCTTGGTATGTACATCAGCCCGTCGTGGTCAGAACTAACTTCATATCCAGACGAAAATGCTGTGTCCGATCCTGACAGCCCCGAGTCGCGGCCAAAGTGATCATGGAGCGCTACGCCCTGTACCGGATCAACCGGAGACGACGGCTGCTGAGGAGAACCCAGCATACTTCCACCAGCATCATCCTCAGCTCCACCGTCTTGCAGCTGCACAAAAAAGGAGCACAAGAGCACAATGCACCATCCCATCAGCATCAGCTCCACCTGCATGGCCATATCAACTGCTCTCTCATCATTCGTACCATAACGTCATCCGTATTGCTAGATGAAGAAAGCTCTACGTGATCCAAATTGCGCGACTTTTGTTCAAAAAAGTCACTTGGCCGTCCCATCGCGTGTCTGTGCTCCCACTTTTCGTTTCCATCATCCGAGAAGCTGCTGGTTCCACCCAGCTCGTTCTCTTTCAGAAAAATCGCTGTTCCACACACACAAACATAAACCCACTCAGCATCACCCCTCCAACAACAACCACAACTCTCTCTCTCTCTCTCTCTCCACTACCATCCAAATCTCTAGGTATCTCATAGCTCCTCGTCTAGCAGCAGCACAACGCACCCGCATCCACAAACTCGTCGTCCATCGGCATCTGTTTCTGCGTCTCTTCTGCAATTTTCGGATCCGGAAACGCGTCTAACGGCGGCAAATCAAAGATCTCGTACCCATTCTCGCCCCCATGAGGGCTCTGCGCCTCACGCTCAATGGCCGAGATGAAGCTCAGCTCGTCACCCGCGTCACTGTCAATACACCACCTTGGCTGCGTCCGACGTTGACTACGGCTCTGCTCCTTCTGCTCCTCCCAGCGCTCCAGATACGGCGCTATCGGCCGCGTCGTCATCGCCGCTCAAGTGCGCGCGTTGTGTTGTGTGTGTGTGTGACCTTTTTTTAGTCTCAAGATGAGAGCCGAAAACCGGTGTGGGCACATACCGGTATTTGTTTCTACCGCTGTGGCTGTCGAGATCAGGTCACAATTTATCTATTAATTCAGTACGTTGGTTGTCGAATGGGCTTGTGGTGGCTGGATGTCGAGTACAACTGTCACTTTTTTTAACTACTGGCCCGCATTCGAGCAGGTGATGGCGATGACCCCCACGACAGCAGCGATGCCACGTGCAGCAGCTGCTGTGAACTCTATACAGCCACCAGCTTCTGCTACGAGCATGCGGATGCCCAGCAGTAGATTCACGTACCACCACTTTGCAGGGGGCGCTGTTGGCGGGATGACAGCTGCACTGATCACGTCGCCGCTGGAGGTCGTCAAGACGCGACTGCAGATCCGAGGCGGAGGGTTGGGAAGCTGTATTACTCTGGATCATTTTGAGTGATGATGATACAGTGGACTGACTTGGTGGGTTATGGATGTGCTGTGCAGGGGGTCCTTTGGGACACAAACGACGTTTGGCGTCATGCGCTCAATCGGAAAAGCTGGTTTGTTTCTTGCTGGTTCCATTATGCTGAGTGGTGGATCGAGGTGGGTTCAGTTGAGGCTAATGAGTACCTTGTTTTTTTTTCTGGATGCTATGTTGCTGCTTGGGGGTTGTGCAGAGTCGGTGTTTGGACTATGGAGAGGCATCACACCCACTTTGATTGGTGTTATCCCAGCACGCGCGATCTACTTTGGCTCGTACTCGACGTTCAAGGAAAAGCTGAATGCGTACGGATTGAACGGCCGTGCATTTAATTTCCTGTCGGCTGCTGGGGCTGGATCCATCTCGGCGACCTTGTGCTGTCCCATTTGGGTCGTCAAAACGCGTCTGCAGCTCATGCCAGCGCATGCCATGACTGCTTCTGCTGTCAAGATGCGTCGGAATGTAGTGTCAGTTGGCTTTGCAGACGTTGAGACGGCCGTTGCGACGAAGGCCCGGCCGCAGTTCTCGAGTATCTGTCATGCGGCATTAGACATGTACCATAAAGAAGGTCCACGGGCGTTTTTCCGGGGCCTATCGGCTTCGTATTGGGGCATATCGGAGAGCGCCATTCAGTTTGCCTTGTATGAAGAGTGCAAGAACCATATCGAAGAGCCCACAAATCTTCAGTACTTCTTGACGGCTGGCGCTTGCAAACTGCTAGCTTCGGTATGCACTTACCCACACGAGGTGCGTATGTTTCAATATCGAGTACCTCGTGTATGTGACAGCAACTAACTGTAGCCATGAATCGCTCATCCTTTGCACAGGTTATCCGAACACGAATGCGCGACCAGCGGGCGCCATTGGACTCCAAAGAACTCAAGTAGGTCCTGTGTTTACACTTTGTACGTTGTTCGTTTTTTAACGGCGTCATTCGTGTTTGTATCGCAGGTATCGGTCGATGATCCAGTCGATCATCACGATTTACAAGGAAGAAGGGAGACGAGGTTTGTACTCAGGGATGCCCGCGCATTTAATGCGTGTTGTACCGAACGCTGCAATTTTGTTCATGGTGGTAGAAGCTGTCGCAAAGAAGGAGTAAGGGGTGAAAAGCTCTGTTGTGCGCACGAGATGGACATATTGTAGTGGATAGGAAGTGAAAGCGAAAACAGGGTGCAGTGTAGATAGGACGAACCACTTTGCGGTGCACTTGAATAGTCAACTCAAGTTGTAACTTATTTCACCGGAATGGTCCCGTTTTTAGCTGGGGATGCAAGGTAAAAGTTCCGCGACTTTCTAACAGTTGGTAACGCTTTTTACCACGTTTTAACGCTATCGTCACTTACTGCCACTTTTTGCCAGCTTGTAACGATTTTACCAGTTCATATCGTTTCACCCTGCTTTTACCAGTTTTACAGGCATCAATATCGCTCCCATAAAGCAGGTTCTCACTATGTAGAGTGGCCGGACGGAGTGAAAACATCAAAATGCGATGGAAAAGCCGTGCCGGAAGGAATTTGCTGGTCACTACTAGAAGAAAAGAGGTCTGCATACACAATACTCGCACCAACTTTTTTTGTCCGACCGGTTTCTGAAGAGGTTCTCGGCCCTAGTGTTGGCCTCAATGGGAGCATCTGCGCACGACTGTGTCATGCTGTGAGCAGAGAGATCGCAAATAATAAGCAATAGAACGCGGAATACCTGTGTAACGAGAATCTCCATGCAAAATTCTTGTGGTTGCAAACTAAATGTAGTTGCACTTGGCTTTGTCCTTTCCTCATTCATTTTATCTTCTCATAGAACATCCACACCAGACGATGAAGACGTCCGATGGTGGGCAGTTTAAAGCTGCGAATTACTAAGAATGTGTAAGAAGTAATAGCATTACATAAAATGCATGTATGAAGTCTTTCGCGGGAACAGTGAGACTTCAAGAATGATTGCGTACTGGCAGGCCATGGTCCTCACCCGTGCCAAGTCTCCTTCTTTTTTGGCTATAGGCGGTAATGGGCAGGCGACGGACAGTGAATGTGGTTGCAGCGCAACCTCCCCTTCATAATCTTGACTGCTATCATTATTGCAGGTAAAAAGTCTGTCCAAAAAGGTGGTCTTGTTTTTCCCGTTATTATCGCTGGTAAAAAGTCTGCCAAAAAGGTGGTCTTGTTTTTAACGTTATTAGCGCTGGTAAAAAGTCAATGTTATCAATAGAGACTTTTTACCTAGCATCCCTATTTCAGCCCACTGATTTAAGTGACTTCTTCTCCTGTTTCACGGGTCGACGCTGCTAGCCAGTCATTCGCTCGAATGTCAACCAGGAGCTCTTCATTTTTCGTCCATCCAAGTTTGAGTCATGACGTCTGTAGCGCCTCAGATCAAGAAGCAAGTGGAGTTTTACTTCTCCGACAGCAATTTCCGTCGCGATCGCTTCTTGCAAGAAGAGACCAAGAAGCACGAAGGCGGTTTCGTGCCATTCGACGTGCTCTTCACCTTTAAGAAACTCGCGGCACTGACGGTGGATGGAGCCGTGCTGGAAGCAGCTATCTCGGATTCTGACGTTGTGGAGCTGAATGAGTCCAAGAACGCATTACGTCGCAAGAACCCACTGCCTGATCAAGATGACGCGCCCAAGTGCACTGTTGTCCTTGCTGGGTTAGGCAAGACCCTGCCTACGGTTGACGAGATCAAGGAAGGGCTTCAGCCGCTGGACGTGGAATGTCTCTACATTGACCGCAAGAACTTCCGCCGCACGTTCTCGGGTGTCGTGCACATTGAGTTCAAAGACGAGGATTCGATGCAGCGCGTTGTAGACTCGGCATCGTCGCTCAAAATCAATGGGTACGTGCCGAATGGCATCTCCATGGTGGACTACCAAAAGCTGTCGGATGAAGAAAAGGTAGAGTTTGATAAGGCCACGAACGCCATGCTGGTGGCCAAGGGCGTGCCAAACAAGCCCACGACTTTCTTTCTGGATGAGCTACTTCCCATTTGGAAGGACGATGCGAAGTTGCGTGCCCGGGTGCGCTACTTTGAAGAGTCTGGTGAGCTGTACTTGCTCTTCACGCAGGTTTCGTTTGCTGAGACCGTGCAAAAACTCTTGTCTGAGGAGAAACCTGTTGTCGTGGATGAGCAAAAATTGACGTTCGAGCTTGTGACAGACAAGGACGCCATTAAGGCTCGTCCGCGTAGCTTGAACAAGAAGCGCAAACACGAACCAGTGAAGGTCATTCACATTTCAAATATTGGTCCTCGCACGCGTCTAGACGACGTGAAGAAGCTCGTTGCCACCGTGATGGACTCTTCGACTCAGTCACCGTTCATTGAGTACGATGGTCTGGATACTGCGTCGTTCAAGGTCAGCATTGCTGAGGCATCTGACCTGTTTGAGAAGTTTTCGTCGCTTGATGGGCCAGAGCTGGGTGGCAAGAAAGTCTCGTTTCACCTTTTGGAGCCCGATGAGGAGCTGAAGGTTGATGTCCAGTACGAAGAGGGTCTCATTGTGCGATTTGATGGCATCGACGGCGAGATTTCGCGTGATGATATCAAGGATGCTATCAACGAGAAGCTCGGTGACAAAGCGAGTGATGGCGCCGGTGTTGCCTTTATCAAGTACCAGATCAATGATAAGGATGGCTACCTTCGTGTCACTAGCGCTGCTCTCACAAAGGAGGTCGTGGACATGTTTGCTGATGGTGGGCTGGAAGTGAACGGGGTGAAGATTCCGAGCGCTGCTATCATTGAAGGAGAGGAGGAGAAGACCTTCTGGGAAGATGCTCGCTCGGCCCGGTACAAGCGCTTCAAGCAGACACAATCGAATCGTAACCAGTTCCAGCGGGGAGGTCGTGGTGGACGTGGTGGTCGCGGTGGGCGTGGTGGCCGAGGTGGTCGTGGAGGCCGCGGCGGTCGTCGCCACTAGATGTAGACAGTGACCGATCTGCGAGCACAGCGACGCACTGCTGACAGGTTAAATACAGCAGCATCTTCTTTTTGCACGTCTTCGGTGTTGTACGCGACGGAGGTGAACTCTCTCGGAAGAGAGGAAGTAAATATATCGGTCTGCTTCCAGCATATGTAAACCGCTGTAGAATTCGTTGCGGTCATGATAGAGCTTTACTTGTCGCGCGCAAGAAATGACGAGCCATCACTGGCTTTCACGTTGTTGTCAACATTGGAACTCAGCTGGTGAATCAAGGCCTGTAGCTGTACTTGCTGTTCAATTTCCTTAGTCTGTTCACGCAGAAACGCAATCAATCATCCCCACGAATGCGTCGTACCCATGACGAAAAAAGGCTGGAATCCTTACCAGGCGACAGACCTCATCTTCGCACTTCCGCAAGCGCTCGTCCTTCGATTCGGCTACTAACCGTTGCTCAGCTGCTTGGATTTCGAGCATTGCCATGTCGTTTTCGAGCTTACGGTGTGCTTTCCTGAGATGATCCAGGTTGCGGCTTGCAGCGTGACACCTTTCGCACTCGGCCTCGAACGCATTCTTGCTGGCAGTAGCTTCATCGTCGAGCCGTGATATCTGATAGCAAGATGTACATGCAAGTGAGCTTCGCTTTTTCCTGATGATCAAGAAAGCTGCCCACCTTTCGCTCGAGCTGATCGACTAGTTCTTTCTTTTCTCGCATCCTCGTCTGAATGGAGCTATTCAGCGACTCAAGGTTCACCAATTCGTCGCGGACAATGTCAATCTCGTTCTCAAGGTCTTTTTTTTCGTCGGACAGAGCTTTATGAGCTTTTGATAGCAGCACCAACTCTTTGTACGTAATCTCGTTTGATAGCTTGTGCTCGCTTAGCTCGGTCCCCAGTCGCTACACAGTCAAGGAAGTGATTTAGCACAGACACTATGACATGGTGCGCACAAGCATACCAGTAGTCGAAGTTACCTTTGTTTCGTCGTAAGCCGCCGCAAGCTCGTCCCGTTGGGCTGCATAGTCTCCAGAAATTGAAGCACATTCTAATCGCAGTTCTTTCACTTTCTCATCACGAAGATTTATCTCTTGCGTCGCAACTGAATGAGCGTGGGTGATCTCTTCCATCCTGGTCTCAAGTGCTTGCACCCTGAGCTTCAATTCATTGTTCTCTTCTTCTAAAATTCCACGCGCAACACGATTTTCTTGAAGAAGTGATTCACGCTGCTGTAATACAATCAGGTTCTTGTTTACGTGCTGTCCCATACTTTTGCACTGCGCTGTAACTTTGCGGAGCTTCTCTTCGTATGCATCACGCATTTTCAGCATTGCGTCGTCCTTTTGCCTCATCTGCTCTGCAAACTTGGCTTCAATGTCTTTCGTCACTCGATCTCGTTCAGCTTTGAGTTGGTCGTGGAGGCACAACATTTTTTGCATCTCAGTCTGCATGCTTTCGACCGACTTTGCACTGACTTCTACTTTTGTCTGGAGGGATTCAATTGTTGACCGTAAGATATCGCTCGCATCTCCAACGCGCTGACTAAAGCCAACTATTGCTTCCACCAATTCCAGTGCACGAAATCGCTTGTTTTCCGAGCTCGCGAGTGACTGCGCAAGTAGCAGCACTGCTTCAACCACAATGCTTTTGTCGTTGCGACTGAAAAGTGCAGCAGCCAGGACTAAAGCCACTTCAGAAGCTTGAAGAAATTGGTTTAGCGTGCGTTTGTTACGGTCGGCCATATTTTCATCAGACGCTATACTTGAGAGGAGACCCTGCCCAGACAGGCATCACCAGCACCGCAGATAAGAGACATGCTGCGGTTAAACACGTTACACATTCTATATCGGAATGTAAAGTCCCCGTACCACTAGGTGCATTGATAGCGAATAATGGCAGCTGATTAAGTCTTGTGGATCAGCAGCGCCAATGAGAGCGGACTCCACTTGTATCAGCGTTGCACTCTACATGTAGTCGAACGTATGACGCCTGCTTTAGTAAGCCTCGTGCCTCCTGTTGGACCAGTGCTAATTTCCAACGCACCTGGTTTAGACCGATAGACTTGACACACAGCAAGCGTATGGCGGGCAATGCACTCAGTTTAGCAAGTAAACGACACACAACCACGGCGTGAAGATATTCGTTGGAGTGACTTAGTTCTGCAATGTCTTCAGCCCCTTGTACCAGCCGGGTTGCATCAGCAGTACAACGAATCATTCCGGCGACAATAGGGCTCAACCGCTCAGCATTTACTGCAGAATCGAAAAGGTTGCGAAGCGAGCGGGCATCGTCGCCAATCACTGTTGAAATCAATCGCGCGGCAGTAATGGCAGCAAGCTTGGAAGGGTGTAGCGTCGCTTGCAGTACACGGTATAAGACGTCTTGATCGGAAAATCGTTTGATCACCATATTCCGACATACTTGGCTAAGCGGAACGACTGACGAGAGAAAATATGCAGCAACAACGATCTGCTCAACTTCGCAATTCAAATTGATCGCCATGCTACAATTGCCAATCGTCGGTGCAATCTTCGGGTACTTCTCGAGCAGCTCCAAAATTTCTCGTCGATCAGCAAGATTGCAAATCAAGTCAGCGCTAACCATCTGCAACAAAGGTCGCCGGTCCGTCGTCGTGGTAACATCTGACATATTCTCATCAGCACCATCATCCCACGATTCGTCCAGCACGGAGAATGCCAGAGCAAATACTTGGTCTACATTCTTTCCACTAAAAAGCTTGCTGCCCACCGGCTCAGACAGCACGAGGCTCGCAAGAATGGTCATGCTGCACACCAACAGTTCCGCGTCCTCAGTGTTGCTGATCAGCATTGTCAACGAACGATAAAAGTCCTTGATCTGCTGAATCTCCTTAACATAGAGTCGAATCCCAGCACTACGTGTGGTCATTTTCGCGAGTACAAGGAGCTGCAACTTGAGCCCTGTGTCCGTCTCACAGCTGCTTTGTAGCGCAGCTACCGACACGCTCTTCACGAGCCACTGAAAAAGCCTACACAGCTGATGTGAAGGGTATCCAATTGCAGCATTCCTTGCAAACAAGAAGCAAAGTTCCAGCAACGGCAGCACATCCTCTGGTGTTCCTTGGGTCTGGGTCGTCTGGGAGTGTACATCCAGAGCTTCACTCGACGCTGCTACAGCAAGCACCTGATCAGCAAGAGCGTCCAGAAGGTGAAGACAGAGCGTCGTGTGGTTCCTAGAGAAGATTTCGCTATGGGTGGACAATTGCTGCGCTATTGTGTGGAGAGTACAAGCTGTGGCAGCACTTGGGGACGCGAGATACCGCTCTACGGAGACGACCAGCGCCGGTCTGTCTGGTCGATTGTGACATTTCTTGAGAGGGGGTTGGCTATGGTAGGCGCTTAGGGCGGGGGCAACGAGAAATGAAGCGGAGGTCGCACTAAGCGCCGAGTTGTCCATGGCGTGTGAGGTCTGTGGTGAAGACAGTACCACTTTGAGCAGAGCCTTTGATTGTCGATATAAGTACGACGTGGACGTGGTGGGGATTGAAGAAACCAATCGCCCGTTTTGCAGCCGGGCGGAGAGGTATTGACACTGAAGTGAGTCTTTTTTGGTAATGAATTCGGCGCGATTTCAGTTGATTGTTCGGCATCGAACTTGCTAGGAAGTGATATATTCGTTATCCAACACCTTTTTTGTGCCAATCAGCTTCCGCCCATGAATAAATGAGGCTGAAATCGTTTCATTACGGCACTGATCCGTCACAAAGGCAATCAATAAAAGAATATGGTTACGACTAGGGCTCCGACCCGGACCAGTTTTGTTGGGTCGACCCAGTGCTTGACCCAGCTGGTCCGGGTCATGGGTCGAGGGTCGACCCGGACCAGGACCCAATGGTCCCTTTTAAAAAAATTAATTTTTATTGTAAAAATGTGAATTTTTCATGATAATGTATGATGCTGCATCTGGGTCTGAGTCCCGTTTCCAGTCAATTTCTTCCACTTAGAGATCGGGCATGATAGAGGCTCTATATAATGTTAACTGATAAATTTCTAATTAGGGATTCTAACAAGTAAAAAACCTGTGGTCATGAATTTCGAAGTGATGCAATCGGAATCTGCATCGTCGGTTGCGTCCGCCGACAGTGTCAGCCAGGAAACAGAGGTTGATTCCAGGTCCAGTGGTGGCAAGAAGACAAGCTGGGTGTGGACTTATTTTAAAAGACTTAAAGAAGAAGAAAAAGCTGTTTGTCAAGTCCCAAAGCATCGCGGCGGGTCTGCACTCTGTGGAGCAGCGTATGTGTGTACAGCTACCAGCGGAACCAAGAATTTGGCCAAGCATTTGATGAGCAAGCATCAGATACACGAAAAGGAACCGCAACAAGGTGCAGTGCGTGCATTTCTGAAATCGGGCAATCCGAAGGTGTGTGCAATGATGTATAAAAAAAACGTATAGTTTCGCTATTGTATTAACTTGTTGTTTAGTTACAAAAACCCCAACTGAACAGACAGACATTAAAGACGGCGTTCATCAATCTTATTATAGAGCATTCTTTGCCGTATCAGTTTGTGGAATATAGGAAATTACGCGAGCTTCTTGAGCTATGCAATCCTGCAGCAAGTTCTCTAATAACGTCCGCAGATACGATCCGACATGATGTTCTGGAAACACTTTTTAAGGGTACGTGTGCGATATAATATTTCTTTTAACATAACCTCAAACGTATATATCTGCAGGGTGTTATCAGTTGAAGATGTCATTGGAGAATTTGAACACCAAAGTGAACATCACTTTTGATTGCTGGACTTCTACAAATCACATTTCGATCATGGTGGTCGCCGCTCATTATATTGATGAGAACTGGAAGCTATGGAATCTTGCTGTTGCTGCGGTGGAGATTGAAGGAGACCACAGTGGGCAGAACCTTGAACAATATCTGTTTGAAGTTTTAGAGAAGTTCAATATATTGGACAAGCTCTTTTGCATTACAGGTGACAATGCTTCGACGAACGGCACAATTGCAATGTATTTGGAGCAACGGCGTATTATTCCTGGATTTACCAGGAGTGACAATATGATTGGCTGTATGGCGCATGTTATCAATCTGATAGCAAATGCTGGTAGTAAGCTACTTGGAGCTTTTGATCAGCAACCCAATCATAACATTGTTGAGATCATCAACCCAATGTCCGTCGATGCGCTAAGTCTGGATCGAGATATTGAAATCGAAAAAGGTTAATCTCCATTTACATTGTTGCAATTTTTTGAGCTCATGTATTAATTGTCTTAATGTTTTGGACAGCGGGTACGATTGTTCGTAGAGTTCGTGACTTCACGAAATATATTAACGGCTCGCCACAGCAAATGCAAAACTTTAGAAAACTTGCGGATGTAGTCGCAGCAGATGTTACTGCGAAGAAGCTGGTACAAGATGTGTCAACGCGGTGGAATTCGACTTGGGCAATGTTGAAGCGTGCATTTTTACTTCGCAAAGTCATTGGAGCCTACATAGACAGCGGCTCCGAGCTTCGGAAGTATGCGCTTGAAGAACATGAATGGGCTCTTGTGCACGAAGTTATTAAGCTGCTTGAACCGTTAGAAGAGGTATTTACCAAATTTATTGCCGGGGACTCATGTGTTAACATTTTATTTTATTCTATTTTTGTTTTTTCAGGCTACGGTGTTGTTGTCATCTGCAAAGTATCCTTATGGCAGCTGCACCAGTATACTCCATGCTATTGGAGAGCATTCAAGCGACTCTTCGTTCATATGAAGGTGCAGTTCTTGAATCATCGATCTGGGCTATGTTGAAGAAGTTGCAGGCATGCAAGAAAAAAGCTGATGGTCAGTTAGTATACAAGCTTTCAACAGTCTTGGATCCTCGAACCAAGTTAGATTTTTTTAAAGATTCTAACGAGGACATATGGGAGATACGCGATCAGCTGTTGCACAGAGCCAAAGTGTACAATGCTCATGAGCAGCACCAAGCAACCACAGCGAGCTCAGAAGAGAGCAACTCGAACTCTTACGCTAGTCGACTCTACAAAAAGCGTAAGACTCATGATCTCGATGACGAGATTGACCGTTATTTAAATGGTGAAGTGGAAGATTTCGACACGGATCCATTGCTTTGGTGGAGATCAAAAGCCTCGACGTTTCCAAGCTTGACGGAAATGGCACGGGCATACTTGTCTATTCCGGCAACCAGTGTACCAAGTGAAAGACTCTTTTCTACGGGAAGTAAAATTTTTACTGACTCCCGCGGATCATCGAGTGCTATCAATTCAGAAGCACTCATGTGTTTGGAAAATTGGATCAAGAACGATTTTATTGGTGTGTAAATGTAAATCAATATGATTACAACGGCCGGAATGGAACGAGAAGAACGAAGAGTTTCATACGGATTCAGAACAGGTAGACAGAATGTTGATGACACGATCACTGCTAATGACCACGATCAAATATAATTTTATGCTCTAATTATTTTGTTTGACTACTTTAGCAAGTTTACTAGATTGTACAGAGCATCCACTGACCTCATCTAACTCTGAACAGGAATTGAACTTGTCTACTTGACAGAAACACGTTCTACACTCACCAACGAAATTTGCAGCTCTGTTGCAATTTAATAAAGTGTGTGAGATAAGATGTCATGATCGTCTATTACATCGTTAGAAACAGATATGTTAATTTTTTTACCAGCGGTGAAGCATCTGTAACGTCGCGAGACGTATGTTGTCCTTAATGGAGAGTGCGAGGTGCTCGATGAGTTTAAAACTCCGAGTAGCCAAGCCTTTACGATTCTATGTTTTAAGGGCTCTCAGCGCTATAATCAATATCAATATAGAAAGTTAACAGATTTATTTATGTTAGCGTCCACCCGGGCACGACCGCACGTGTGGCCATGGTTCGGTGAGCACGAGACGACAAGGCAACGCGCGAAAAGAAAATAGACTTATTGAATAGTGATGAAGGACCCTGATGTAGCCATACTCGTGGCCCAGCGGCTAGAATTCTGGCGCCGTAGCATGCGTAAGGCTCTGAACAGCAGAACCAGACGTTAGTTATCTTAAATCAGCACGTCATCGGCAATGTAGATCTCATTTTTGCTGATACGTGGCCCACCGGCTTGTATCTTCAACGCCGACGCATACGTAAGGCTCTGGACAGCAAGCAAGACGTTACACCTCTCTCCTCCTCTTAGATTAGTCCGCCCTTAGTGATGTTGGTCCCCTTCCGATGCTTGCGCGGCCCACCAGCTTGTATCTGCATTAATGAAGCACACGTAAGTCTCTGAACAGCAAATTAGACGTTGCATCTCTTACAGTAGCCCTCGATCAGCAATATTACTCCACTTACAGATTCTTGCGCGTCCCACCGGCTTGTATCTACATCTTCATCCCTCTAGCAAACGCGAGTCGCGGATGAACGAAAAGCAGCCGCCATATTTCTTTCTTGGCATCCACAGAACGATCTACAGACGCACGCGCAGCGTGTCCAAGCCCAAGGCAACGCCTCACCTTGGCTGTCGCTAGAAAGAATTGGCTTGAGCTCAAATGTAAATGTTTGGAAATCCAAAAAAACGATGTGGTACACACATAAGTTTTAGTCCAGGGCGACCCAATGGGTCGGGGTCGGACCCGGACCAATGCCCATGGATTGGAGCCCTAGTTACGACAATGGCTGTCCCTTCTGTCAGTAGGGTCACCGAATATGTCGTCAAATCGCCGTGTCAAAGGTTTCTAGCACTTTTGCGACTTCATTATGCCTATTCCTTTCATATCGGTGTCTCGTGACGATGTAAAATGGACGAGGACCGCTACGATACTAGGGGAGATTGTCTTGTGGTGCAAGTGACCGAATCTATTCTGAAGGTATTTGTACTTTGAGGCGCCAGGGCGCTTGACCATCGGTCTTACTAGCATGTTCAAAACCTGCTAGTAAGTGGACCTGAGAGGTATCGCACATCGTGCTTAAATAATTCGAGGTGTACCATGCAGGAAGGCGAATGGTCGTGTGCACCGTAAAGTCTGCGTCGTCAGCGCAAGTATTGAGATGTGATGCTCTGAAGACAAAAAGTGTGTTTGAAATTGCCTCCTTCTACGACCCCGATTTCTTCATGAGAAAATATGGAACATCGCGACCTAACACCCGAGAATACCTAGGGGAGATAGATGGGCACGTACAAAGCCCGTGTTTAGGCAGCATCTTGTTTCGAGGAGATTCGCTGCTAATTCTGTAGACATCTGGCGTTAAAGGTATCTCTGATGAATTCTAGCTAGACATGGACTCTGTGTTATGGCTAGAAGACACAAGTCGCAGGACCTCGCATGTACGCCTTTTTTCATTCCGAGCAAATAAGAATGAGAGCTTTGCTGTTTTTGATGTATCTTATGGCTGATGTGACAATAATACTGCTGTATTTTTGTAGGGAATTGTTAAATGCAAGCCCACAAAATTACGACATGGACGCCGTTTAAAAACTGTTAATAATTGCTGTTGAATGCACGCCCTTTGATCTTAAAGTTTACCCGTCAACGCTTGAGTATCAGGCGATGTCTTGTCGTATATCACATGACATGCGGACTCGTCGAATAAAATCGGTAGAATTACCGATCTTTCTCGTCTTGTGCCAGAAGCTACTAGTGAAGAGAAAACGTGGTCTATGCCAAACAAGAAAAAGCCGACTAACAATGTAATAAAGGATACAGTAAAAGAAGTTAAGACAATAGAGAGTTGGGGCCTTGCAGCGGTCAAAGTATCTCTCGAGGACACACCCGCGTTAATATTCAGTACTACAGCGATCTTTTGTTAATTATTTAAAAGTCGTGCGGCGGTATGATCTGCTATATTGAGAGTGGTGATGTCTGAGCTTGCCAATTATGACTGTTACTGCTGGTTCAACATTCGATCCAAGCATATAGCTGGTACCTTCAGCCGCATTTTCTTGTGTCCCCTTTACGCTTTCGTTTTTTCGAAAACCCGACGTGTTCCACCACGATCGCATATCAACCAATACTTGCAGCCTCCATTATATCTTGCGACTGTAACAGTGTAACCTTAGGTGCGAGCAAAACCATTCTGGAGTCACGAAGATTCTTGTAGGTGTCATAGGTCTGTTCTTGTAAAGTGAGCATGCACTTAATGAAATCAAGATTACTTGTGATCTGCTCTGCGTTATTTTTAATTGTTGCTCCCTTAAAAGTAAATCAGAGTCGAGATCGGTCACGTTAGACAGAAATAGGCTGTAAATGAATCAAGTGTCAATTGAAATGGTATGAGGGCGTTTACTATTGTGGTGGAGTGGGTTTTTAAAACTGTTTGACGAGACTCCAAACCACTCACTGTGCCGGACTGCCGACTGTCGGAGGGGGTACACCGATGCCGCTTGTGGACCTTGAATCACCTTGAGTACCCGTCTGCTTAGTGGTTTTCACTCTTCGAAGGACTTGATGATGATGTAAACGTCGGCCTTGATGGAGGTCGACCTGGAGGGGGTGAGAGGGTATGCTTTAGTCGGGGTACAGTGTAGGCGGCAACTCGATCGAATTGGTCGAGATTGGTTTTATAACCAGCTGTCTCAGGTGCTGGTGGAGCCTGTCCTTCACTTGTCTCAGGGGTTTTAACCACCTGTCTTTTATGTGTCTTCTCCCTTACCACTAGGGTATGGACACCGCTTCCTATAGCGGGCTTGAGTTGGGGGGTGCTACTCTACGAACCCATAGGCCAATGTACTTCCTGGGTTTCTACTTACGTTTGTGTCTTACTAACAAATGTCTATTCGACGGGTGGGCAAAACAGATCCCTGGCCTGAAACAGGTCGGTAGACTTACAAGTATCTTAGCGCACGGCACGTCGTGCTACTTAGATCGCTCTTTAGGTAGTATTTGATATCATCCTATCCTTTGAACTCTGTTGCTCTATTTTTGCATTGCACCTGGGTTCGCAATGATGAGTGGCTAGGAGCCTCCAGACCTTGAGGGATCAAGTCAACCTATGGATGAACAGGTCAGCCGATGGGTGGCCAGGTCGGCCTACGGGGAACCGAGGTCCACCTTGGGCGACTAAGCCGACCGACGAGTGGTTGAGAACGATCCATTTCAGTACCGTTTAACTGGTACCGTCGGTCGATTTGACCCCGTTATCAGTAACCTTAACCGCTCCTCACGATTGGACCCAACGGCCGCTCCTTACCTGTGAACCCCAAGTCTCCGCCCACTTTCCCGGCCTCGAGGTCCCATGTCCATCCGGATCATCGACTCTTAAGTCCATCCTTTTCGAATAATTACTTCACCACACTATAGCCTAATAGGCGTACACTTAGCAAGGCGTCCATTTACCAAATTTAGGCGTCCTTTTATCAATTCCATTTTTGTACACCAATCCAAGCTTTAATGTTTAATTTAACACGCAGATTCTTGTTTTCTCAACGTAAGATAGAGGAGCAAGCGCTGGACTCCCTCTTTGATATAAGTAATTCATTCCAAGAGTTAAGATCAAGTTCTCATATTCGCGTCTTATGTGGAATTTAGTAGCTTTGTATTGAGTTGCGCATTAAAATTGGTCGTAAAAGATTTCTCGTTGTTGTACAGAAGCAACGATAATCAGATAGGGGATTTGGAGAATGATTCTATTCGGTAGCACAGTCAATTATAAACAACATCCGCCGACATTTTATTGATCAACGATAAAGAGGAATGAAATTGCTGGAGATTCCAATGCTAGAGATTCAAAAACGTGACCAAAATCTCTTACTTTTTGGACATTCATTTG